AAGTAGGGTGACCCACCATAAATAAATATCTCCATATATCTCGACAATTACGCCACAATATTTATATATATGCCAAGCCTCAAATCAGTTTCACACAATTATAGTCACTAAATAAACGATCATGTTGTACTTAATAAGCTATGACCATTAATCATGTATAAATAATAGACTGAAAACTGGTTCCAAGAGTCGTCCATAACATCCAGACACTTTTGAGTAAAAGATAGGTTACGTGCCCTTGTTTTGAAATTAGTCTCGCTTAACCAGTCTATCGACCATTCTACGTCTGATTGACAGGTCGGGATAATCAAGACTACTTTTTTACGAAACATAACAGAAAGCTAGAACAAGAAATTGAATTTAGAAATAAGCACGTTAGGTAGCTCAACAATCGTTTTAAGAAGCTTGTAAAAGTAAAATGAAACTACTGCTAGTATCATGTTCCTGTCTAATCCGAGTGATTCAGAGATATTATTTGTGCTAAACCAAAAGATGCCGCTCTTAACGGTACAGTTAATGATAAAGCGATTTAAAAAATGAAACGAACGTAATTTCTAAATCTGCTGTAATAACCAAGAAGCTTAATTTTACTGCTATTCAAAATCGTCAACAATAAATTTTTTACGGCTGTAATAGTTGATAGATTTGTAGAGAATTGCACGTGCCATGGCTATTTATAGTATCATACTGCCAGAAAGTTGGTCTTGGCACGGCGAATGTGCACGCTTCAGTGGTAGTCTCGAACTATCAGCGGTGGACTGTATTTCTGTGAGTACATGGGTCACCCTATCAAAAGTTATCATCTGATCTTTCTGAAATTTATATGCATTATTAAGATTGCTGAAACGAAGAAGCCTATTGAATTTCAGCAATTCCGGTTTATTATGTCTAGAGTTATGGCCCTTGTTTCTCTTTATTGATCCTTGTGAACATTCTAACGTCAAAAGTTAACATCCGATCTTTCTGAAATTTATATGCATTATTTAGATTACTGAAACGAAGAAGCCTATTGAATTTCAGCAATTTCCGTTTATTACATCTAGAGTTATGGCCCTTGTTTCACTTTATTGAACCTTGTGAACGCTCTAACACCAAAAGTTATCATTCGATCTTTCTGAAATTTATATGCATCATTTAGATTACTGATACAAAGAAGCCTATTGAATTTCGGCAATTTCCGTTTATTACGTCTAGAGTTATGGTCCTTGTTTCACTTTATTGATCCCTGTGAAAGCTCTCACGTCAAAAGTAGGGTGACCCACCATAAATAAATATCTCCATATATCTCGACAATTACGCCACAATATTTATATATATGCCAAGCCTCAAATCAGTTTCACACAATTATAGTCACTAAATAAACGATCATGTTGTACTTAATAAGCTATGACCATTAATCATGTATAAATAATAGACTGAAAACTGGTTCCAAGAGTCGTCCATAACATCCAGACACTTTTGAGTAAAAGATAGGTTACGTGCCCTTGTTTTGAAATTAGTCTCGCTTAACCAGTCTATCGACCATTCTACGTCTGATTGACAGGTCGGGATAATCAAGACTACTTTTTTACGAAACATAACAGAAAGCTAGAACAAGAAATTGAATTTAGAAATAAGCACGTTAGGTAGCTCAACAATCGTTTTAAGAAGCTTGTAAAAGTAAAATGAAACTACTGCTAGTATCATGTTCCTGTCTAATCCGAGTGATTCAGAGATATTATTTGTGCTAAACCAAAAGATGCCGCTCTTAACGGTACAGTTAATGATAAAGCGATTTAAAAAATGAAACGAACGTAATTTCTAAATCTGCTGTAATAACCAAGAAGCTTAATTTTACTGCTATTCAAAATCGTCAACAATAAATTTTTTACGGCTGTAATAGTTGATAGATTTGTAGAGAATTGCACGTGCCATGGCTATTTATAGTATCATACTGCCAGAAAGTTGGTCTTGGCACGGCGAATGTGCACGCTTCAGTGGTAGTCTCGAACTATCAGCGGTGGACTGTATTTCTGTGAGTACATGGGTCACCCTATCAAAAGTTATCATCTGATCTTTCTGAAATTTATATGCATTATTAAGATTGCTGAAACGAAGAAGCCTATTGAATTTCAGCAATTCCGGTTTATTATGTCTAGAGTTATGGCCCTTGTTTCTCTTTATTGATCCTTGTGAACATTCTAACGTCAAAAGTTAACATCCGATCTTTCTGAAATTTATATGCATTATTTAGATTACTGAAACGAAGAAGCCTATTGAATTTCAGCAATTTCCGTTTATTACATCTAGAGTTATGGCCCTTGTTTCACTTTATTGAACCTTGTGAACGCTCCAACGCCAAAAGTTATCATTCGATCTTTGTGAAATTTATATGCATTATTTAGATTAGTGAAACGGAGAAGCCTATTGAATTTCTTCAATTTCCGTTTATTACGTCTAGAATTATGGCCCTTGTTTCACTTTATTGATTCTTGTGAACGCTCTAACGCAAAAAGTTATCACACGATCTTTGTGAAATTTATATGCATGATTTAAATTAGTGAAACGATAATTGCAATAATTATTTCTAGAGTTATTTCCCTTGTTTCACTTTGTTAAACCTTGTTAATGCTCGATTGATGATAGTTATCATCCGATATGTATGAAATTTATATGCATCATTTAAATTTGTGAAACAGATCTATTGAATTTCAGCACTTTCCGTCAATAATTTCTAGAGTTATGGCAATTGTGAACGTTTGAATGACAAAAGTGATCATGTGATCTGTATGAAATTTATATGCATTATTTAAATTTTAACAATTTCTGTAGATTACTTCCAGAGTTGAGACCCTTGTTTCAGTTTGTAGAACCTTGTTAACCCTCAAACGACAAAATTTATAATCTGATCTGTATGGAACTGTCTTGTAAAGGCCCCCAATTACCTACAAAGGAATAAATATGCGACAACCCTTGACGACCGCTCGGACGATTTAGCTGCTGTGGGCATATGTTTTGTTGCTTGGCAACCTATCTTTAACTATTATATAAGTGAGAACTGCCAACTCGTTATCGAATCTCCCATAATGTATCTTTTTTTTTTTGTCCCCCGCCTTTCGAAGAAAGCAGGGGACTATTAAAATGGGTTCGTCCGTCTGTCTGTCTGTCCGTCTGTCTGTCCGTCACACTTTTTGGGACACAATAACTCTCTTCCTAATTGAGCTAGAATGTTCAAACTTGGTGTATGTGTTTATTAGGTCAATGCCTTGATGGAGTTCGAAGATGAGCATTTTCCGCTTAGGGTAAGCAGAGATAAGCAATTTGATTGGTTGATGCTTTGGGACACGATAACTCTCTTCCTAATTGGGCTAGAATGTTCAAACTTGGTGTATGTGTTGATTAGGTCAATGCCTTGATGGAGTTCGAAGATGAGCATTTTCCGCTTAGGGTAAGCAGAGATAAGCAATTTGATTGGTTGATGCTTTGGGACACGATAACTTTTAATTGAGCTAGAATGTTCAAACTTGGTGTATGTGTTTATTAGGTCAATGCCTTGTCAAACTTGGTGTAGGTTTTTATTATGTCGATGCCTTGATGGAATTCGAAGATGAGCATTTTCTGCTTAGGGTAAGCAGAGATAAGCAAGTTGATTGGTTGATGCTTTGGGACACGATAACTTTAGTTCTAATTAAGTGAGAGTGATGAAACTTGGTGTATAGTTTCATCACAGCATTACAACGACTAATTTCAATAATGAACATTTTCTCCTGAGGGTAAGCAGAGCAATAACCAATTGATTGGTCAAGACTTTGGAACATAATAACTCTGCTTTTAATTGTGGTAGAATGTTTAAACTTGATGTTGATGTTCGTTAGGTTGATTCTATCTGATAAAGAGTGATGAAACTTAGTGTATAGTTGATAATCAGTTTGATTGCTCGATACTTTTGAAAACGATAAACGTGCAATTAATTGATATGTGTCATCTATCTATTTCGGGATTTCGGCGGGGGACATCAGCCTCGATGTTGGCTTGTTTTTTTTCAAACTTGGTATGAAACATAGACACCATAAGAAGATGACCCCTTTTGATTTCCAGCATTTTTGTCCCCCGCCTTTCGAAGAAAGCAGGGGACTATTAAAATGGGTCTGTCTGTCGGTCCGTCACACTTATTGGGACACAATAAACTCTCTTTCTAATTGAGCTAGAATGTTCAAACTTGGTGTAGGTATTTATTAGGTCAATGCCTTGATGGAGTTTGAAGATGGGCATTTTCTGCTTAGGGTAAGCAGAGATAAGCAATTTGATTGGTTGATGCTTTGGGACACGATAACTTTAGTTCTAATTAAGTGAGAGTGATGAAACTTGGTGAGCAGAGATAAGCAATCTGATTGGTTGATGCTTTGGGGCACGATGATAATTTTTTTGGTTATAATGAAGTGAGAGTGATGAAACTCCAAAGATAGATTTATTATATCATTACCTTGACTTAGTTCGATGGTGGAAATTTTCTGCTTAGGCTAAGGAGCGATAAGCAATTTGATTGGTCAAGACTTTGAAACATAACAACTCAGCTTTTAATTGAGGTAGAATGGTTAAACTTGATGTAGATGTTCATTAGGTGAATGTCTTGACTGAGTTCAATGATTAACATTTCGAGCTGAAGCTAAGCAGAACTAATCATTTTCATTGGTCGATACTTTGGGACAAGATAATCTTGATTCTTTCTGGTAGAGAGGGGTGGAACTTAGTGTACAGTTTGATTGTTCGATACTTTTGAAAAAAATAAATGTGCGATTAATTAATATGTGTCATTATTTATTTTGGGATTTCGGCGGGGGACATCAGCCTCACTGTTGGCTTGTTTATCTAAGTACAGGGGTAATATGTTATGTGTATGAATCTAATTACAGACAGGTTTATCCAGACACAAGATGTTTGCTAGACAAGCAGACTCAAACTAATTGTTCAACTGAAATATCTGGGATTTCTCTTTCAATTTTGTTTTTATTTTATTGAAGGTTTGCAATGAATTACAGTGGGAAGATCTGCAAACCGAATTCCAAATTCCTGCCTCTTGTTCTAATGGAGAACAAGCACTGAAATATATTTATGTTAGGTAAGTGAATCATGTAGTAGACTAGAAAATGTTCACCAAGATTGATACTATAGCATGCATGTAAAAAAGAACTCTGGACAGTTGGAATTCGGAATAAAGAGTAGACTGTAACGTCGCTGTTTGGGCCAAATTCCCCCTATAATATAATGCATGGCATATATATGCTCATCTTGATACCGGTACTGAACAGTAAGACCTTAAACTCCATTTGATTTCTTTTCTCATCATTACAATTGCCACTCCCTTACAAGTTACAATATTATTCAGTTTTTGCCCTATATATCTATTTTAGTGCGAAAATTACATGTTTATAGATGCTTTGTTTCCAGTTCGAGTGTTTGTTAGGAATTTAGCCTCAAATCTTATCTGTAAAGGTTTACAGATATACTGTACTAGTAGAAATACTGTTTTGGGAGAACTTGCATAGCCCATTACCCAGGCATCGATATTTCCGCGCACATGCGCATGGCGTGCGCTGGCACATTTGCTTTAAAAAACTTTTTTGCAGGTACATTTTCAAAGATGTAGCCACGCCGGGCGGCGCCTGTGCCCGGCACTATTTTTTGCCGCCCAGCACAAAGAAAAAAATCGAAGGAAGCCGCCCAGTCGTATTTAAACCCCTTCGTCCTTCTCTGTACACAAACTCGGCGCTCGAAATTTACCACGGCAATTAAACAGCAGAGCCATGGTAAAAGCCGACGTACCATACGCAAACCATGTCTGTCACGGCATAATTTATTTTTGTGTGCCGTAGTAGACCCTATCATCCAAAATTAGTTTAAAGAAAGATGTATTGGTATTTTGTTTATTTATACTTAGAAGATGTGTAGGCCTAGGTCTATTCATTTTACAATTATTCTACGGTCTTTATATTTGTTTATTTGCCGTAAATAGGTCACCCAGACCAATTTACGGCACTCCAATGTTAAAGGTTTGAATGTCGTAATTGTCCAACATGTGCCTGCAAATTTTCACGATGTTTCTTATTTTATTTCTTACCTGTGTTGACCGTGGATTTGCTATGGCCCGAGAGTAGGACTAGGAGGACGATGAGAGCTTTCTCAGTTTCTGCCTGACCTGATTCTCATTCCACCGTAATAATAATAATATTCGCGAGACACGTACAACAACTTTACAAACATTGAAACAAGTCAAATAATACAACGTGTTTTAATTATCAATATCTACCTGTTGTCATAATTCGTTGTACTCAAATAAAACACCGTTTTAAGAATCGTTTTAATTTTTAATCTCAAAGTAATAAAGTAATATTTGAAAAAAAACCCCAACAAAACAACAAATACTGAAAGGTCCTCAACTTATCTATTCAGAGAAACAGAGTGGGGCGGGACAATTTTATGCTCGGTCGGGTGGTGTCAAAAAGTTTTTAGATCCCTGTATCATTGATGAAAATTAAGTGAATTTGGTAAAATTTGAATATATCAATGGAAATTTGATTTGCACTGAACCAAATACAAAAGGCAGCAGATGCTCTGAAAATACACCAAGAAGGGTTTAATTTTCATAAAAGATCACGCCCCCTCCCAAATATTTTTTTGTCTCCATCCGCTCGCCAAATATATTTTTACACCACTCACCAAATCCTGGCTACATCCCTGTGTTTCAGTATGACCCTGCAGGCACATTTTTCAAGTGTGTGCGCAGGCACACTTAACTTTTATAGAGCCCTGCCATTACCTGTTGTTCTTTTCCAGCCCACTTCCTCCCTGTACCACTGACAAAATGACGTAAAAGAGACTGAATATATCTATATTTGTAAGCGAATTACACAATTATGGATACAGTTTCAATTTAAATATGTTTGTAATTTGGCCTTAAATCATGTCTGAACTAGAGGTCTACAGCTACATGTAGTGACAATACTATGGGGTCTAATTAAAAGGGTATGTGGGTTGTGGGTTTATATTTTAGTGGAAAAGATCATGTGGTTTCAATGCGATTTACAATGCTTCTTAAAAGATTGTGGTTTCCATTACTTCCATATTGCTGAACCAATGTCAAACATACAGGCTCATCAGACTCTAGCCACCCAGCCCATAATTTCTGGGTAAACACCCACCCACCAGCCCTCACAGGCCCCTGAAACTCCATTAACGATATAAATATTGGGATTTGGACATTGTGTGCTCACACATGGTCTTGTGCGTCATACGACATCAGCAGTCACCACTCACCTGAAATACTGTTATCAATTTATCATGCATTTGACAGAAAGGGAGATAACTCTTTTTTAACCGTTAATAAATTTCCAAAATTCCTTGTTACATTCAGCCTCTGCATTTATGTTTTGGATATATTTGTTCAAATCAAAATTTAACCAATACACTATTCTTTGCCATGGATGAAGGCATCGGGTGTTTTTGCCAATATTTAATCTTAAGCCAACTTCAGAATTATTAGTATAACTTAGAACTATAGCAGTTTACTCAAGAATTGTCATCAGACCCAAAATCGAGTTGTTGCAAACATTTTTCTTGGAACTCTCGGATTTGTGTTTCTAGTGTTAGAAGCTTTCCAAAAATGTATACATGTAGTTTGTTTAGCTATGTGGACCTTGTGCGGAATTGTGTTTCTAAGCAAGCTAGAAATTTTGGCTGCAGGCCCATTGGTGAAAGATTAATATACATCTTAAATCAAAAGTGTACATTTTTGAGCCACCCTAACTTTATGATACAAGCTTATATTATGAGGTAGAGTGTTGGAATTTTCTGTCAAGTTTCAGTGATTTTAAACTGGACAGAAACATGTCACTATTCCTTTATATCTAGTAGCTTTCAAATCATGAATTTAGTATCAAAGTCCATGTTTATTAAATTATTGAAATTGAACTTCAGATGGAAAGGAAAACCAAGGTCCACCCACTTACACATATTGATAGATTGAAACTCTGGTATCGCATAGCACATGTAACCATAGAAATAGAAATTACCATGGGTTTGTCTCAAAATGACTGAAATATTAAACCTCACTCCATTCCATTGAATTATTGATTTTGCAGTACATAACCTGAAGATACATTGTGTGTTGTATTATTATTGATTTTTTCCTCTATTAGTTTTGTTTACATGTACACCGATGGAACAAGTTACCATTACTTTTCACTAATGATATTTTTTTGGTTTTGTACTGGTTCTCTAGGTTTTTATATCTGTATGAAAAATTAAATTTTCTTGGTGAAGATCCAGACCAAAAAGACCCTGATGCAGATGCTAATCCTGCAAGAAAAAAAGCTACTGGTCCATTTTATGGTGTACCCTTAAAATATAATTATTCACAACATCAAATTCCAGGTAAATGGCAATCATTAATTATAATTATAATCTAGGTCATTGATGCTTGTTAGCTTTAATTGTTATGAATAGTCAACTGTTCATTACTATGTAATATTTTGCCCTTCCTATTTAAGATGTGTGTGTAGTCTGAATGCATTTGGTCTACTTTTTGATGTTATTTCTTTTCATATTTGAAATCTAATTGTACCAAATAATATATGTTGAATTGAAAGATATTGAATTTCATGATGAAAAATGTCAACCGTGTAAAACACATATTCTTGAATGGAACTGATACTGATCAAACAAAGCTTGTAGATTTTTTTTTTAAAAACAGAAAAAAGACTAATCAAATTTATTTATTTTTTATTTTTCAGACTTATTACGTAAAAATAATGGCTTCTCACTGGATGTTATCAGTTTAAATGATTATGATAAATTAGAAAAGGCTTTATTGTCAGGTTTACCAAATGAAGTAGATTTTGCTATCAATGTGTGTACACTGCTGTCTAATGAAGGTCGCCATGTTTTACGTCTGGATAAATCAAAACAACTTTTACATTTGTTATTGGCTCATATAGGGGTGTTTAATAGTGGTAAGAATATCTTTAATTTCAGTTTATTGTCTCAGTGCATCATTTGTTACTTTGTGGAAAATATCACATTTTCGACAGCTTAATTCATACGGAATGCACTCAAGTTGATTTTTAATATTTTAACATTTAATTATTTAATTAAGAAAACAAAACTAAAATATCAATGGTAAAAAATCTACAGATTAATCAAATGGAAAAAAATTGTCCCATGATTATGTTGTATAATGAGTTAACTTTTTCATTTCATAATTAAGACTAAATAAGAGTTTTATCTTGTAATGATATGTACAACATAATTAAATTAACTCATAATTACAACATAATTTTAAAGATACAATAATATTGATAACTCTGATAATGTGATATACAGGCAGGGTAGCTTGATCAACACTACTTATTTTTATGTTGCAGAACAAAAAAAGCTGACCTCTGTATATTGAAATTAATGTGACTATTGATAGGTTGCAATTATGCTCTCGTTAATATCATTCATTAATATCATGCTCTTATTAATATCATTCATTGATTTCATGCTCACAGCAATTTCATTCATTAATTTCATAGTATTATTTTCATGCTTTCATTAAGGGAACTAACATCATTATTGTCCATAATCTGAGACATTAAAAACACGAATTAGAATAACGCAAAAAAAAAATGTTATTGTAGTACATGTATGTGAAAAGAAATTTTGCAGTTCTTTGAGAATTGAGGCGAAATGCAAATTATCTATACATTGTATTATCGACAATCGTGGCTGCATGTTGATTGCAATTATTCCACACGTAAAGTAAAAGACAAAACCTACAAATATCTGTTTAAACAATCTTTTAAAAATATCAGAAAGCTGATCAACACTCAATACAGGGATACTTTATTATAAAAAAAAAAAAAAAATAACTGATGAGTAAATACTAAACAAAGTACTAAATAAACAGAAATGTTTTATTTATTCATCAGAAATATTATTGTCCGAAACTACAAATCTCATTATCAAGTCTAAACCATCATTTGTTTTGCGTCTGGAAGGTTGCGGGACCAAAAGGTTGTGATACTGTGTAATCACTTTCATATTGCGCCCTCAGAACCATCTCATAATTATAGATTAACTATGTCGTAATTACGAGTTGATTATGTCGTAATTACAAGTTGATTATGTCGTAATTACGAGTGGATTATGTCGTAATTACGAGTTGATTATTTCGTAATTACGAGATAATCAGAATACCCCTTTTTTTTTTATTTGATTGACACCAATGTTCTTTTGTAATAATCTCCCAACTTGGATTCAATCGAAATAAAAGGAAACCCATCAAAATAATTCGCGAAGATTACAAGTGTCGCTGGATTTTGACCATATCCACATAATATGCCTGCACTGCAGAGGATACAGAATGTTGAAAATATTATTCCTTTTAGAGATCCAACTTTCACAGTATCCCTCAAATTCAAATGACCTTCAGAGACTTTAATATATTGTATACATGTGGTTAACCGAAAGGCTTCACTGATAATATTTTATAAGCTTATCTTGTTGTTAATCGAAAGGCTTCACTGTTAATGGGCTTCATTAAAGTTGCAATTGCAAATTTTCAAGTTATATTTTTAAAATGTATTAAAATAAAGCCTTAAAATAGATAGTATCCATAAACAGTCCTACCTTGTTAAAGAATAATCCTATTAATCCTATAATTCGCTATTGCCAGCTGAGAAATTTACAAAAATATCATTTTTAACTTCAAATTCCAGGGGGTTTGGATGGCTGAATGGTTAGCGTGCGCGCGCTGTATCATAAAGTCTGTCATTGAGTCGACTGGCGTGGTTTCGAATCCCCGGTTGTACGTGACAAGGAGTAGGGTCGCCTGTCCAACCTCGTGGGTTTTCTCCGGGTCCTCCGGTTTCCTCACACTGCTAAAAGACCCCTACGCGCAAGCGAATTATTGAAATAAAATTAAACTACATGTATATGTTAGTCCCGAAATGACCTAGTTTGTGTCGAGTGGATGTTAAACCCAATTTCTCTCTCTCTCTTTCAAATTCCAACGTTGGAAAATGGCTGCCCCATGTTGTCAATAGCAAAACAGGGGAGGTAATTGTGTTGTTATTTCCGGTGTCATAGATTTTTAAGGGTGGGAAATAATGCCCATGATCGTATAATAGTGATTTGATAACCTATTGAGCAAAAGACATAGAAATAATTATGTTTTGACTTTCTTGGAAAATTTGAAATTCTCGCTTTAACCACATTTATATTTTTTTCATGAACCCTATATTATACACTACATACATGTACTAGTTAAAACAAAGTCAATTAAATTTTCACAAATATGTTTGAGCAGAGCTTTTGAAGGTTTAATTGGCTTTTTTTGTTATAAAAGAATATATGCTATACATGTGTTATATTATGATGATTATTGACATCTTTATTTATAGGAAATGAATCTTTATATGATTTATATAGACATGGATGGATACCATATTCTCAAAGGGATTTTTTGAGGGTAAGCTTTAATTTACTATTTTTATCAGTTTCAGAGTAACACTATACATTAATCATAAGTCTTGTGGTATGCGTAAATTTACCTGTAACATATAAATGACCCATTGACCTTTTATAAACCGGTCATACAAATACTGTAAACATACCTATATAACAGAGAAACTTAGTCAAATCTATTGCAGCTTTACAATAGAATGATTTTGTTGTGATTCTAACTGTTTATTATTAGTAATTAATCACCTGTTTGAACATTATTTTTTTGTCATGGCTCAATTTTCCCCATCAGTTTCTGTCAGATTATAAAATTTAATCCTAGTTACGGATTTTTATACTGTTTGTCAATTAGAGCCCACATTTCTCACGATCAGTGAGTAGTCCCTGGTCAGTTTGGTTCATTTTTATACGCCCACTTGGAAATGTGGACGTATATTGCCATCACCCCTGTCTGTCCAAAAGTTATCATCCAATTGTTTTAAAATTGATACATGTTGTTTACATTAGTGAAATGAAGAAACCTATTTAATTTCAATAATTTCTGTTTATTACTTCTAGAGTTATGTCCCTTCTTTCACTTTGTTGCACCTTGTGAACGCTCTAACTAATAACATCAAAAGTTATCTGCTGATCTGTATGAAATTTATATGTCATTTAAATTAGTAAAAAGAAGAATCCTATTGAATTTCAGCAATTTGATTCCTGTTAATTACATCTAGAGTTATGGCCCTTGTTTCACTTTGTTGAACCTTATGAACCTTCTAATGTCAAATGTTATCATCCGATGTGAAATTTATATGTATTATTTAAATTAGTGAAATGAAGAATCTTATTTAATTTCAGCAATTTCCGTTTATTACGTCTAGAGTTATGGCCCTTGTATCACTTTGTTGAACCCTGTGAACACTCTTAACGGCAAAAGTTATCATCCGATCTGTATGAAATTTATATGCATCAATTATATTTTAAGCAATTACCGTTAATTACATCTAGAGTTATGGCCCTTGTTTCACTTTGCTTAACCTTGACAATGCTTGACCGACAAATATTATCATTCGATCCGTATTAAATTTATATGCATCATTTAGTGAAACCAAGAGGTCTATTTAATTTCAGCAATTTCTGTCAATTCTAGATTTATGGTTCTTGTTTTACTTTGTGAACCTTGTGAACTTTCGAATGACAAAAGTTATCATCCGATCTGTATGAAATTTATATGCATTATTTAAATTAGTAAAACGAAAAACCTGTCATTTTCAACAATTTCTGTAAATTACTTCCAGAGTTAAGGTCCTTGTTTCAGTTTGTAGAACCTTGTGAACCCTCAAACGACATAAATTATAATCTGATCTGTATGAAATTGTCTTGTAAATGCGCCCAATTACCTACAAAAGAATAAGTATGCGACAACCCTCGCCGACCGCTAGGACGATTTAGCTGCTGTGGGTATATTTTCGTTGCCTGGCAACCTATCTTTGATGGGCTATGTTGTTTCCATATGATTTTCCAAGTGTGGTTGCATTACTGTGAGAGTACTAATGTTATTTTTATTACAAAGGATTCATCCCTGTCTGGTCATCACATTTTTTGGGACTCGATAACTACAGTTCTAATTGAGCTAGAATGTTCAAACTTGGTGTAGATGTTTATTAGGGTTACATCAACCTGACTGTTAAGACTTCTGAACAGGACTGTCTATTGTTTGTAAACAAATCAGCATATTCAGTCTATGATATACACACAGAGAAGTATCTCTGTAGTATACCAAAAGTATGATAGTAGAAATAGCTGTTTAATCGATTGTCTAGTCAATGATGAATGAGTACTTACTCCTAGGCACATGCACTATACCTGTAGTTACTATGTAGGTACTCTAAAGACGAATTTAAAAGAATTATGTGAATTATTTGTATCCTTTGTAGAGCTTTTAATCAAATAGGTGTTGTGATGAATTAAATCAAATGTTTTTATTTCTGTTTCAGTTTTGGTATGAAAGTGTACAAGATGAATCCATTAAAGAATTAATTACCATGAATGATGTCATATACACTCGAAGTAAGTTCTCCTTTAGAAGGCCATATAATTTACAATTGGTATCCCTTTTACTAAGAATAAAATAAGTCAGTTTAAGACAAAAAGTTTAGTAGTTTGATTCAAGTTCACTTTATCTTATTTTATTTGTTATTAGAAAAAGATGTTGGAAATGAAGTGTTACATCTGGGAAATGACATAGGTGTTCATAGTGTAGAAGGTCAACGTGTCACACAGGTATTTCATTTTGTTTTTAGAATTTTTCTATTATTAAGAGAGCTTCTGGTATATAAAACTAGATTTGTTTTGTTTTTTTTCATTCAAACTTTATCATACCCCAGTAAAAACTATACCATTTGCACACTGGTGGGATTTGTCTTGTGTAGAAATATGCCTTTGATTGATTTTATATTACTGACTGTTGACAAGATGCCATTATTATTGATGATCAGTGCTATGAAAAATATTAAACAATCAGATGAGTACACTGAGTACAGTATCATGAGATTACTAGGGTTATCACAGACCTGGAAATCGATCTAATAAGACTCTATGCTACAGCTGTGCCCCAGCAATATGTCTTTTATTTTTAATTGCCACAAATACTCCTGGCTTTACTGATTAATTCTATATAAATTTTTATTTTTAGCTGGCTGTACTTTTAAGAAATTTATCATTTGAAGATATCAACCAGAAATTAATGGCATCAAATGCTGTTGTTTTCAAGTGAGTAAAAACTCTTGTGTAAACTATATAACTAATTCGTGGTAAATATGAAATATATCAACTGGCACAAGAAGTGAGATCTTCACATATATCTTTTAATGTAAAGACTATATTATGTAAAGCTCAAAACCTTCATGAAGAATGTGCTTGTACGAAAAAGATAGCAGATTTATTATTACTTTATATGTCTACGACACAAAAAGATAGTTGGTTTGAAATTAATAGAAACCAAAGTAAACTATAAATTATCATAACTTAATTTATATATGATTGATTTGAATAATTTTTGGACCAAATTGTTTTTAAAGGAGCTAAATCGCTAATATATGGGACCTAGAAATTGAGACAAATGGGTCGCAACGTATATAATAATGTATTATGGATGTATATAAACTAATTTACATTGAATTGTTTCCGTTTTTACTCTAATTTCAAATCCGATATGTTCGGCGAAATACGCCATAAGTCTCAATTGAATGGCAATCTCCAGCGTCTGGTTATTCCAGTCTACACCAATAGTATTTATTGCGCATGCTCTTCAGATAATAATATGGCGCCACCGTTTGACATGACTTGTGGAAAATATCTAGCCTCGTTCTTCAAGTCCCTTGTTACAAATAATGCTGAAATGCATTATGGTACACGATTCGTGTACCGATGGTAAAATGTTTATTTTGTCATAAATATTGAATATCAGAAGCCCACCTTTTCCCGGTAAGATCACAACATCAATGTTGATTTAAATTGACAAATAATTTGTGTTTTTAATGTCGAAGACTCTGGATGATATTGAGTTAGAGACTTACCTACTTTAAATAAAGGTACTTTTGAATGTGTTTGTATATTTAACCAATCTTCTGGCATGTTGTGGCGTATTTCATATTTTTTAATGTTTTTTTTTTAGATTTTTAATGCTTTGTGTACATAGTACCTATGGTACATTAAAACAGCTTGCTTTAGACACACTAGGAAATTTAGCAGCACAGGTAAGATGATCAGTCAGTTAACCCTTCTACAGGAAAATGATGTTGAATCAGCTACATGTATTGCTTTTATAAATACTTGGGGCTGGAGGGGAGAGGTAGAGAAATTTGGTTTACTGTCCACAAGGGCAAACTAGATTATTTTGAGACTAAAATATAGTGTAATTTTATTTCAAAACTTTGCTTACACATATGAGTCTTAAGCAGTTGGAGGAAACCGGGGGTCCGGAGAAAACGCATAAGGTTAGATCGTCCTTGTCACTTTCAAGTGTGGGATTGAAACCACGGTAATTGACTCAATGACAGGCCTTATGATCTAAAGCACACACGTTTGAACATTTGAACACCCCTGGGACTGGAAGGTATTTAACCTCTGTAGACCATTCCCCACCAAATATATATTTGTCAACTTTTAATCTTAACACTAGAAATTTATATACTGTGTATGCCCCATTTCTAAAAGATAAAATCGACCAGTCAAGAGAAAATATGAAACTAGTCTCATTTGTGCCTTGAGTTACCTGTCTAACTAAGATATTTCTCCAGGATTCTCCCACTTTAATTTCACATATATAGATATTAATTTGTGCTTAAATTCTATATGTAATGTAATGTATTTATTTTCAGATGGTGTTTGATTCAATAGGAAACCATAGAACAAAACTTATTCTTGACTTTATTACAAAATCTTTTTGTTCAGATGATAAATTTACAGTAGTTAGAGGTAAATATATAGTAATATTTATGTTCAGAGGTTGGGGGGGGGGGAACAACTTTTTTATGCCTTAATCTTAATGTAATTTAGTCTGTGGTCCCCAATATCAAAATACTCTCTGTTTGGTGGTGTATATTGTGGAGCCACTGTCTATAATATTCTTTTATTTCCCAGCAATTACAACTATTATATGATTTAAATATAGCATAATGAGATAGCTTTTCTTTCCACAGGGTAAATTTACAGTAATATTATATGATTGATACTAGACTACTTCTAAGTTTGTTATTGTGTTTATTTTTCAGCTTTAGAAATATTAGGTAAATTATGTCAAGTAGAAAAGAATGAAAGTTGTTTAACAGAGACATTATTATGTAAGAACTATGAAGATGTGTTCAGTTTATTAACAGTACATGATATACAACTTATTGTACATACATTAGAAGCTTTATATCAACTATCAGAACTCGGACAAACAACAACCACTAAAATAGCACAAGTTAGAAATGCAGTTGGTAAGTTAAGATATTTTAATAGATACAACCCATATTTTATTAATTACAAGTGCAGCCAGTCATTATACATTAAATTAGACGAAGATAGAAAGAGCAGAGGATATGAAGCAATGTTCTTGTCTCTTCTTTTGGCTTGTCATTTGTAACATCTTCACTCATTGTTACTGAAATACAAAGGTGAAGATATGACTGTTTCAGTAATTGGGGCAATGTGTTTTATATTTTCAGATGTTTTAATTGACCTCATAACGGTAGATGTCCAATCCTTTGGTGCTAATTCATTGATTGGTATTAAAGTTGTTGAATATGTTCCTCCACCTTCTGATCGTAAAGGGGAAAAAGGAGAAGTAGCAGAAGCCACGTCTGTGACAGTTTCAGCTACAGCCGATCCTTCCAATCAGACACCACCATCTACACCAGCTAAATCGGCTACACCAGCCAAATCTTCAATTCGTAAAGGTCCCCTTATACAGGTTCATGACATGGAAGCAACAACAATGAATTGGTATGGTTATATCTAAAACATTTTATTCATGCAAACTTGCAATGACATTTATTACTGATATTGCAGATAGGTCAGAGTTCAGATTTTGTGATAAGAACATGTGGTAGATAACAGAACACAGTTTTTATGGGATACAATCACTAGTTTATTCTAAAAGCACGACGTTTCGACAAGTATCCTCTTATCGTTATCAAGCACAAATGACAATTTAGTAAACTTGTGGACAATATATATGAAATTAATAAGAAACCATCTGCATGGATTAATCCATGCAGATGGTAATATTTCTATTACTGTTATTCTTAATCCATGCAGATGGTTTCTTATTAATTCATAAAAACTGTGTTCTGTTAATTTGTTCCCTCATCGCTAAATGCCACTTAAAGAATATGTGGTAGATAATAATTACTTTTCTTACTTATTAAATCTTGTTACTAGAACTAAACGAAATGGGCATTTTCACATTCAACATTTCCTGTAGTGTATATTGTCATCATCATTGTCCATCTGTCTACAGATTGGAGTTTTTGAACTCCCATATTTTCATGTGGACATACTATGTCATCCGGACATCCTCTAGCGATCATAATTTTTATCCAATTGTGAAAATATTGTATCCCAATGATCATGGATGGGCTTGATTTTGGCACATAGCTTGTGGACGGTCATGAAGTCTCAATTTTTATCTGATTATCATGAAACTTAAAATATATGTTTATATCTCAAAGATCTTGGATTGATTTGATTTTGACTGTAGAAGCCCTGTTATGGACTAATGTTATATATTTTTTTCTTTATGATACAGGTTCCGAGCAACATATGAGCCCAGACGAAGTGGAAGAACCTTCCAAATAGACTTGTTTACAGACTACCTACAATTTTGTCACAAATTTTCCCTTGCAAACGTACTTCAATCAACGGAGTTCTCACAGTTAGTTCGGTAAGTCGAGATTATCTACTGTAACATGCACATTAAGAATTCTTTGTCACAACCTTCCAGTTTCCTGTCAACAGTAGTCTGTTGGGCAAAAACATGGTGCATCATACTCTAATGACAGATGTTTCGTGGCAAGCCTGGCCCAACAGATAACATTAACAAAAAGTTCTATTTGAGTACGAGTATTAGAACACAGTTTATTTTATGTTACATAATTGAATAATAAGTTATTTTTATTTTTAGGGTTGCTTTTCCCCAAACAGAAATTAAGACAATGACAATGCCAAATGGAGATAAAGATATATGTTTTTTAGGATTTAGTAAACGTACAAATCCTAAACCATTTCATTTAAATAATCCAGGTAAGACCTGATTTTAAACAAGACAAACAATAGTACTACCAGATATGATGGTTGAACATATTGCTATAAAAATGTTAGGTTTAAAGGTACTTTCTAAATTTTCACTTCTGTTAATTCCTTCATTGAAAACAATGAAAGTATTTCTAGTAAATATACAAAATTCCAGTTTTAAACTTGGAAAGTCCATCTAAGAGCAAGATTTTGATACTCTGCAACAACTGTCAGGAAAAGAACCTCAAATTCGTCACACTTTTGCTCATTTTTAGACTCGATATTGGAATGCAAGAAATGTCTTGTAAATGAAATAAGTTTAGACCATTTTGTCCAACAAAGAATTATAGAAAGTATGTTTATTAGGGTTTTAAAGAGTGAGTTGCTCAGTTGATTGAGTATGTCAATTTACATTCAGTGCGATTTGGTTCAAACACGATGGATCTTCCTTCATCGATATTACTTAGTAATATTTTATTGAAATTCAAAATGGAAGAGACACTTGGGATTGGCCATGACAGCTGCTAAGTACAAATGATAAAGAATTTTTTTTGTTTTATATTTTTTTTATACTTTTCAAGCTTTCTTTGCTTACTTATAGTTATAATATAAATAAAATTGAAATGATTGTATTTTCCTGTAGCCAGTTGCCTGAGATATTGGTTGAAACAGGAGTTATCTTGCCCCATTTTCAGTGTTTTATATATGTTGAAAGCACGGTTTATTTAAAATCACTGTTTGATGTTGTTTATTTATAGCATGATTGAATGTTGTTTGCATGTAAAGCTGCATATTGTTTAATAAAGCACATAACTTTCTTAAATATTGATACTAATCCATGACAAAAACCCATAGAAAATAAATTCATGATTTTATATCTGTAGTTTATTAAATGATGGGGTTTTGTCTGAATGGTATGGGGGTTTGTTAAAGTTTCACTGGTTGGGTTTTGTTCGAGTGAGTGGGACCATGTTCGATCACCCTAATCTATAGACTGCGATATACATTTTAAAACAAGAGATCTTATACATCATTGATTATACAACTATGTTTGAGGATTAATCATTTTTTACTCTTTGTCCTAAACTTGGAGATAATTTCATGTTGTTTCTTTTAACACGAACTGTGTACAGTAGAAGAATCATAATCGAGTTAATTGAAATAATTTTAATCATCCTAGTAAGACTAGATTGTAGAATTGAGCTAATTTTGATGCATAAATAAATCTGTTTAAATTGATGGGATCTCGGTCATGACAATAATGACACTTTAGCTAGCATGATTTTAGTGTATACATAAACTGCAGTGCTTGAACCCTATGTGTATCAAATTGCATAATAGATGAAAGAATTATATTATGAGCTTACATTTAATATTTATATTAATTGAGTGTGCCGTTTGATTGATTTCTAATACTTTTATTTTATTTATTTCTATAAATTTGTTGTTTTAATGTTACAGTAGTTTTAGTGTTGTGTAGCACATTTCTTTTGTTTCTTGCTTTCAGTGCCTAAGTCCATAAGTGTGAGTGTGAACTTACCAAGTGGTGCTCAGGCATCTAACTCATCTCCTCTGGTAGCTAATACCCCCACCCCAACTCTCAGGCAGCGGCTTATGGAACCGCCACAACATCCTATACATCAGCCAATTGTTCATTCAGGTTCAGGAACAACGCCCAATAAAACAACACCAAACACACCAACAACACCAAGAACCATCGCTCCAAAACCGGTAGCCAAACAGCTTCAACTAGGCAGCACGGTGGTCATAACTCAAGGTCCCAGACCTCCAGGAACTCCTGATAACTCGCAAGTCCCAGGTTCACCATCAGTTAAACGCCAGAAGATAGCTCCCAAACCATCCATTCAACAAACCAATGTACAATTTCCATCTATTCATAATGCTTTACAAACAGATAGTAATGTGGTAATGAAAACAGCTGCTCTGCTTCTAGATCAAGATTCATTTCACAAATCAACTGATACAAATTTAATCAAAAGCCTTTTGGCTAAAAAACTTAGTCAAAATTTGGTTGGGCGACAGAATTCTAGTATAGCTAGTCAGCAAGGTGCACAATTACCAGATAATATAATTATAACTAGTTCTGATCAGTCGGGGCCAGAAGTACTATTACACTCTCAAACCGAGTTAAATCAGCATAATACTACAGCAATACCATCTACATCTTCACATAGTGTAGAATCTCTGTCTACAAATACTACCCAGCCTTCATCATCACAAGTGCCATCAACAACATCGGACGATACCACATCTAGTCTACAGAATGTCCCACAAAAACGCAGAAATAGTTCTGAATTATGTCCTGTTTCGCCCAAATCATCTAAATCCCAAGGTTCACCACGTCCATCATCACCACGGGCATTATCTCCAAGATCAAAAAACTTGGACCTTGAGGTGTGTGGTGAGGTAGAAAAAGCAAAAAACTTTGTGCGTAAAGGAACTGAGGCAACTATAGAACGAGTTGAAAACAAAGGTTTGCAAGAAATAGAGACAAATAATAGTGTTAGTTCTTCTACTGCAACTACATCATCTCCGTCCCTAGTGTATAATAATACATCATCTAATAATCATCATCAACCTGTTAACAGTTCTTCCTTATCCACGTACAATACATCCTTACCTCTAGTGACAAACAATACAACATTAATTACACTACCAGCTAATGGTACAAACACTCATTCTAAACATGTGGCTTTAACTAATGATGGAGATGTGAACAAAACTAGTGAAAACATACAAGATATTAGTGAAACTCAAAAATGTGTGAAAATGAATGGAAATCCAAATATAAGGGACAAAGAAGTGCTTGGTAATAAGTTATTAAATAATAATACGTCAGTAGATCCTACTGTTAATACACAAGATAAAACAAAGTCTAGTGACTCTAATGATGTGAAAATAAACAATTGTCAAACAAATGCTAAACTTGTGAATGGTAACAATGCTTCCCCTATGGGTGATTGTGACCTGCCTCCGTCTCCTATCTATTTAAATAATATTCAAAGTGGTCTCATCAATGGAATATCTGATGATTCAATGGACTCTTTAGTTGGTGATAAATCTGTAAAAACTTTTCCAAAAGAACAAATTACAAAACTGGTCGAGAAAGCCAGTAAAATGAATGGAATCTCGCACCATATAGGTAATGGTGACCATGTTGAAGAAAAGGTTGGAAATGATAAATCTAACCAGGAGTGTGGTAGAATAAATAATACTATCTGTAAAGAAAGTTTAGAAAATCACCGTGAGTTAAATGGTAGTGTCGAGTTATCAAGTGCTGTCAAATCAGACAAACCCGTAAATAAACTGTTTGATCAAACAGATAAACTAGCTTCAACAGTAGTCACCAGTGTTATAATTAATGCAGAAGTTTCCCCGCCCATTATCAAAATACAATCGATACTGGGTGAGAAACGAGTCTGTGATACCACTCGACATGTACCTACTCCAGAAACATCACGCGACAGTGAACTAAGCTCAGACAGTTTTGCCTCTTCAACAGCAGAATCTGTCCCAGAAAAACATTCCATTCCTGTATGTATAAACATTGCTCAGCCTACTACTATAAGTACAGTAGTAGAGAAAGCATCACCAATTAATGTTAGTGAGAAGAAAGCGAAGTGTAGAAAACGTAGTAGAAGTACAACTGGTAATAGTATCAACATTAACCAGGAATGTAAAACAATCTCAGTACCTGTACAAGTTGTTGATTTTATGTGTGAATGGGCTGGATGCAATAGGTAAATAGATTTATTATATATTTTATCTTCTACTGTTACTGCATGCAGTTAAAGATTTTAACATTATTTTACATTGCTTATTGCATAAAGTATAACGTGTGCAGCAGGATTTTCTGATATTTGAGTAAAGTAACAGATTGTTAATAATTATTTTACAATACATTATTTAAGATGTAATTAAGATATCAAAATATGAAAGGTTAATAATCTCCTGGCTTGAATTAAACTGGATAAAAAAATAAAAAAATAGGCCCATTAAAAGATTATATAATTAGAGACTAATTTTGGTTATGCTGGCCTCTTTAGACCATGTCACAATTAGAGGCCAAATGTTGACAAATTTTCAATTCATCACAACTTTGTAAAAACAGAACAGAATTGAACCATTTTTGGACTGAGATGTTAAAGATTCAACTTTCACAATATTGTAGTTTGCAAGCAATTAAAAATCCCCCAAAATAAGATCAGGGACTTTTAACATGATCAAGGACTTGGGCTTCTTAAAATGATAAATGACTTTAGTTACCCAATAACATAGTCTAGAAGTGAAGATCTGAGTTTACCCTTAAAAGGTTAGAAGCAAGAGTGAAATCTGCTTATTGCAGCTCTTTCTTTAGGCCTGAAATGTTATTGACATTATTAATTAGACATTAATTAACTTATCTAGACCATAATCAACACTTGTTGACATCGTTAGCCTGCGATGTTTAGTGGATTTGAATACATATTTTGTGATGGATAATTTAACCTAAAAATGGATAATTGAGACTTTGTTTATTATCGCACTAAAGTTAGTAATGACGTTCGAGGCTAGCCTAAAATTGAATCGCTAATAACTCTGTTCAGGGTGAAGCAATTTGACTGAAATTTTCAGCATATTCTGTTTTCATTACCTATTTTTTAACTATATAGCGAGAACTGTCAGTTCTTAATCTAATCTTACCTATGCCTCAAGTGTAAATAAATTTTTGTGATATTTTTCAGGTGTTTTGAGAATGCTAGATCTGTATTTTGTCACGTTGTTAAAACTCATACACTTGTTGGTAGTGATGGTATGTGTCAGTGGGCACATTGTCAACCAATCAAACGACAACGCTGGTCACTTATAACACATTTACAGGTTTGTTAATTAATTAGATTATAACCAGTATTGAGAAGAACTAATATTTGTACACAGTATTATTAGTACTAAGGGGTTTTACAAATACACAAGGCTCTACATGATTGGGGGGGGGGGGGGGGGGCTAAATTTATGAATAAATATTGACCAAAAACTACTTTTGTCCCATTATGTTGTGGAGTTTTTTGACTGAAAGTACTGTCTATTGCATGTATAAATGTATCCCCCTCCCCCCTCAAACCTACACAACCTGTTGGGTATGTTATAAGATAATCTTAAGATAAGATTTTATTGTATCATTGCATCCACTAAGGACAGCATACACAGTTTAAACAAAAGTTGATCATACAATTATAACATTACATCTGGGGTGATCATTTATGGATGTACAGTGTGATATAATGAGTCTATATGCATCAAAAGATGGTCGGTATAATGAAAATCAGTATAGAGCTAAAATGAAAAACTATCTGAACTAGCCTGTAAAAAAAACATACAAATGTAACAATAATTTATTTATTTTTTTTGTATTTAGGATCTTCATTGTTCTGATAGTGCTTTAAGGGCAAGGTCAGCTAAAAGGTTACAACCTCATCAGACAGTAGTCCTTAAAAAACCTGCCCCCACACCTACTCCTCCTGCCCCTAGTACACCAGCTCCAACTACAACAATTACTACTACTACCACAGCATCAGCAAGTACAACAAACTCAACATTAGTCTATCCTAATGATGCTGCCATGCAAGCCATCAAACGATTTCTTGTACGACCACCATTTCAAGAGTTTTTGGTAAGCTATTTGTATAATTTTCTTCAAGCAAAACAAATCTTTTCATGTTTGTAGACCACAGTAGTCAAGTTGTTAGGCATTAGATTTTACAATTGAATTGAATCCAAGCTAGGAGATTATCTACATATAACCATATTGATATTTTGATTTTGTTTTCTTAGTTAAAGTTTCAGTAATCTAATTGAGTACATTTTAGGGTGGATAAAGCCTTGAAAATCTAAATGACAATCAATGTCATAAAGTGAAAGGAACTGACCACAAATTTTGGGCTTAATTTTTGGGATGATATTAAAACAAAGATTACATAACAAGAAAATGATTTTCACCTGAAACAAAATATTTTTGTGTTACAAATTAAAATATTGTATTAACTTAAATGATAAAGGTCTACTATGAAGTAGCAGGATGAATTGAATAATGAAAGGTTATTTATTGTATTATTTATTTTAGGACACCGGGGAAGGACCTGTAACAAAACACATCCGATTAACTGCTGCTTTAATTCTCAGGAACATAGCTCGCTATTCACCAGTAGGAAGGAGGTATGTACAATACAGGAATTACACAGCAATCATCACTTACAAAACATGTTTGATTAATATCATGTTCAAGCTTTCACCTACTTAGAGTAAGGTATTTGCTTATATACCTTGGAAACCACAACAATAAAATGAATAGTCCAGAGATATATGTTACATATTATATTTGTCTTAAATTTTGCATACCTGCGACAAGATTTCACAAATCCTTATCAAGCATATCAACACAAATAAATAAAATGTAAACCTCAGTCAGGTCACAGCGAATCATAAAAATTTTAGGTTTTTTTTTTTTTAACTAATCCACAAAGAATTACAAAGTGCTCTGTATTAATCCCTTAATTTGTCTTCTATACTTATTACAAGCCTCTGAATATAAGACTAACATTTAGTTATATCATTGTAGATATGATTCTTGTGTCAGATTGAGTCTTTCCAATAACTTTCATAAAAATATTTTACAAAGTAAGGTTTTATAGTAATATACTATTAGGGGATATTTGATTTTGGGGGCATAATACTAAAATATGCAAATGACTACGAAAAAAGTCACTATAGAACCTAACAGAAGAAACATTTCCAGTTACATGTGACGCCCAAACGCACCAATAGCTACCGCATGGAATGCAGGTGATGCTTGGGATCATCATGGGGGTCCAACACAAGATTTGCACGACTCTGACTTTGAATGTTACAGTCATTGTGGCATTGAATTCCAGGGTGGAAACATCAGTTTAATTGTTTTAGTGACCAGAAAACAAATTTTGATATGCGTCGGCTTACCCAAAATGAAAGGTTACGTGCCCTTGGCATGCTACAGATCGGCACAACACAGGCGGTTGTGGCGCGGACGATGAATGTTTCTCAGTCTGTCATAAGCAGGCTATGGTCCAGATACCGTGATACACAATCTGTACAGGACAGACCACGCTCAGGTCGACCAAGGGCGACAACTCAAGCCCAGGATCGATTTATCCGTACCTTGGCCTTGAGAAATCGTGTCATCACAGCAAATCAGATCAGCGCTCGTCTTCAAACAGACACTGGTGTGAGAGTGAGTGGCCAGACGATTCGGAATCGACTGCATAGGGGTCACCTTCGCGCCCGACGTCCTCGCGTGATCCCTTGTTTGAGAGATCATCACATTCAGGCAAGACGTCGTTGGTGTAGGGATCGTCAACACTGGGATAATCGACGCTGGAGCAATGTGATGTTTTCAGATGAGTCAAGGTTCACTGTTGATTTTTTGGACAGACGTAGGAGGGTGTGGCGTCGTCTAAACGAGCGCTTCCAAGACGTTAACGTCATCAGACATGATCGATTTGGGGGTGGTTCTGTTATGGTGTGGGGAGGCATCACTGTTGCTGGAAGAACGGCTTTACATGTTGTTGCAGGGCGTGTTACAGGCCAGTACTATCGGGAAAACATCTTGGCAGTCCATGTTGTGCCGTTCGCACGACGTCATGGCGCCGTTTCATCTTCCAGGATGACAACGCAAGATGTCACAGGGCCAGGATCATTACAGGTTACCTCCAACAACAGAACATCACCACATTACCTTGGCCAGCACTGAGTCCCGACCTCTCCCCCATCGAGCATGTCTGGGACATGCTTGGACAGAGGTTACGTCAACGTCAACAACGTCCTGCCAATGTCCAAGAACTTGCTGCTGCGTTGCAACAGGAATGGGACAATCTGGACCAAAATGACCTTAGACGTCTCATTAGGAGTATGCCACGTCGGATCAATGCTTGTTTGGCAAACAGAGGAGGATTTACCCGTTACTGACTTGGTTGTGATGCTGTGGTAACTTTGCTGTTTGACCCCGGGTATAATTTTACCCTTATAATGGTCAGTCTGTGCCTTACTTAGTCTAACGATCATTTGGAATAAATCGATGAATGTGAACTTCATTTCATTTTGTCATTTGTTTCTTCGTCAGTTTCATTAGGTGACTTTAATAACACTTAAAAATCAAATATCCCCTACTTTTTTTGAATAGTATAGTATTCATCTTTTAATAACCTTTACATCCATTTGATTTTTTTTTTTTTTTTTTTTTTTTTTTTTTTTTTTTTTCCAGTTTGATAAGAAAGAAAGAGGGTCAAATAAGTTATGTAACAATGAGTGCTGTTGAATCATCTACTGCTCTTGCCAACTGTTTATGGGAGATATTAAACCAACATTGACAAATATTAGACATTAACATGGCTGTCCATACGTACATCATATTCATTTCTCTCTCTCAGGCATTATCATTTTTATATCATTTACTTGTCTTTTATACCATGCCATTGTGTCTGGTTGTTAATCATAATATTATTTATACAGCATAAATTATTACATTTTATAACTTTTTCTACTGCTGTTAATAATCTTAAGTTCATTATTAATAACATCGGATTAAGTTTCATGTTAATATCCTTCTCATCTTATTATTTTGTATCATATTGTCATTTATTTGCATTTTTTCATTAAATTGTTCATAATGCTAATTGCCTTGAGACAGTATTTGTATGTTCTGTAGTTAACTAGGAAAATGGCTAGAGGTATATATTATATAGAATATGTTTAAACTATCATATTTCTTACTCAGTGTCTTCAATCTAAATGTATTTAAAGAAAACATGAACAATTTCATATATGTTGTAATATTTCACAGGTTTTTCTTTTTCAAATTTTTATGAAATTGTTTCATAAATCTTCATTTTAATTAAAATTAAATTTTTGTCTGCTAAATATCCTGTGTTTTTATAATTGAAATAATTTAAAGATGTATCATTTTAGTCCCCAAATGACCTGATATTAAGTGGACATTGCATCTCATAGTTCTTATTTTACTCTGAAATAGTCTTGCTTTTAGGACCGTGGACTAATGACTAGTTCAATGCTAATAAGACACTTTATCTCTATTCCAGTCTATGGTTATATCTAAGTTTAATTCATGTTGGTCTACCATTATACTTATAAATTTGCTACTTTGACGTTTTAAGTAAAGCATGTATGATACAATAAAAACTAACTGTACTTCACTGTTAGCATTAGTTGGAGTGAACAGAAAAATGGTACATGTACGTATTTCTGGAACCAGCTTAATATACTGCACTAATTACAGCACATCTTAATGTGGTACTTGGGGCATTTTATACCTAACACACAGGTCTGTTCTTTTGCAAAACTAGTCTGGAGCATGGCACATTACCGATAGGCTCATTGCTAATTATTCTTGTTTGCAGAAGGTATTCATTATTATTACCCATTCCACTTGTGAATCACCTTTCTTTGTGGTTTGAAGCTAATCTTTTCAATGTAAAATAGTTTGAACCATAGCAGGTATCTGATAGTAATTCGGTTGGTAGATTGTTACTCTTCTGAAGACGTCAAACTTGCTGACTAAAAATCTATAGGCTAAACACTGCAGTCGGGAGTCACTGATAATTCTTTGCAATAAGAACAAATACACTTATGTCTAGGTTTGCAACTTTCTGGAAAAATATCAACAGTGAAAACCCCCTATTATTAGTTAAGATTATTGTCATTCCATACCTGTATAATTATATTGATTTACTGCTTCTAAGGTATTTTCTTAGTTTGTAACAACTAAATATACACACATAAAATATAGAGAATAACCTCTAAAGATAAATAAAATATTTTTTATTCATTTCTTCAATTCAAATACATTTATTGACATACTTTCAATTGAGTGTGATATATCACATTTGTCAATCAATAGAATATTGTAATCTTACTTAAAATAACTTTGTTAAGGATGCAAACCAATTCATTCAAGATTAAAATATAAAAGCATCAACTACATTATACACTTCATCAAAGCATATATACAGCCAATAACATAAGTATTGATATTTTACCAGTATTGAATTTAAGGATTCTCTGGGCTAAAGCCAAATATAAACCAGCGGCTGCCAGGCAGGATATCCCCACATTTTGCAAGAGATGGATAGAGAACAAGCTAAACAAAAAGCGATTTTTTGTACAATTAAGGGCCATAATTCAGGAAGTTATGATCCGATATTAATATGCGTGAATATCGACAGGAACCAAGATCTTTAGGTTATGAAGATATATTTCTTCGTTTTTCATCAAAATAGGATCAATATTCTGACTTCTAATAGAGGGTCCACAACCTTGATATACCATATATTTACACTACTTGCGGATGAGGGGTGGCCATTTTGTCCAGATCATTAGGATGTAACGGTGATATAATTATTCCGGATCATTAGGATGTAACGGTGATATATTCCAATGTTTTTTTTTAAATCAGATAAAAATTGTGACCTCTAGAGGGACCACAAGCTGAAAACATGATATTTCGTACAATCAAGGGCCATAATTCAGGAAGTTATGATCCGATATATCGAAAGGAACCCAGATCTTTGGGTTATAAACATGTATTTCAAGTTTCATCAAAATTGTGACCTTCGAACTCAAGTGTCATTACAGTGTAACAGTGATATATTCAAATGTTTTTTTAAGTCAGATATTAATTGTGACCTCTAGAGGGACCACGAGCTAAAAACGTGATTTTCTTACAATCAGGGGCAATAATTCAGAAAGTTACAATCCGATATGCGCAAATATTGAAAGGAACCAAGATCTTTGGGTTATAAACATGCATTTCAAGTTTCATCAAAATCAGATGAAAATTGTGACCTTTTAGAGTGTCCACAAGCTAAAAACATGATTTTTCATACAATCAGGGGCCATAATCCATGAAGTTATGGTTCGATATATGCCAATATCGAAAGGAACGAAGATCTTTGGGAGATAGACCTATATTTTAAGTTTAGTCAAAATTGAATGAAAATTGTGACCTGTAGAGTGTCCACAAACAAATTGTGAACGGATGGGCGCAACAACAATATAGGTCCAAATGAAAATGTGGACATATAAAAAGCAATCACAGATATTAAAGGTTGAGTGTTGATAAAAGTGCTTTAATGTATACCAATTTAATAACTTTTCAACATGTAAAGAATTAGATTGTCCTTCTCAAAAAAATTTAGGTTCAAAATATGACTAACAAAAATTGCTTAACTACTGTTATGTGCTACAGATAAGGGCTTTCCTTGTTAAATTATGGCCCCACAATGACTGAACAATTTTCATATTGTCTTTTCGTTAGTCATAAAAAAACAATTAAAGCAATAGCAACAAATATAAATAACAAATATAAATTTTCCCATAAAACTGCAACAATAACAATTGATAGTAACAAATAAAAAATATGAAAGGCGGGGGACAATTAGGTTTTAAGTAAAAGCTTACCACAGATATGGCTTAATTTATAAAGGAAATGAGATTTTAAATCACATTTAATCAACCTACTCTACTAATAAGTAAACAATGCATTCATTCTTTCAAAGTAAAAACACTTGTAAAGAAATGTAGACTGTGGACCAATTAACTCCTTAATAAAATCACAGCCGATGTGGAATTTTACCTTTACTTGATTCATATTTTATCACAGACATTGACATGGCACTATCTTCACCGATGTTCTTTATTATAATTATAAAATTTCTAGGCATGAACATGGCATCAGTAGTTACATCTCATTTTACTCATATTTCTTAGATTATAAAGTTAATAACAGTTTAGTTATGCACACATTAGCTGTCAAACATTACAACAATATTGCAAGCAGATTTTATTGGGGGAAACTAACTGAAAACCTTCATATATTTTGAAATTAATTAGACAATGTATGTTCACTGGTTTTACTGGTTTTAATGTACAATATAACACATAACATTGTATATTCAATATACATAATCAACACTTAAAATTTATATTCATTAATTTTACCACCATAATGTACAATATAAGACGGTAATATTCTATTTGTATCAAATACAACCAACTCTTTCTTGTCAGCTGAAATGTGTGAATCATACCCTGGTTCAACTTGAGAACTGCTTCGTAAAGATGTACAGGTATAAGACTAAAATGAAAAAAAAAATGTAAAAAATTTACTAGTTACATAGTCATACCGGTTATGTCAACACTAAAATCTGATCAAGGGCAACAACCCATGAGAGAAATGGGGTTTAATGTCCACTTGACACAAACTAGGCCATTTCAGGACTGAAGTAATTATCAGAAATATTTACAAGCAGTTGCCATGCAAGATATGCCCACATTTTGTAAGAGATGGACAGAGAACAAGCTAAAAAAAAGAAGTGATTTTTCTTGTACAATCAGGGGCCATAATCCAGGAAGTTACGGTCCTATATAAGGAACCTAGATCTTCGGAATATAAACATATTTTAAGTTTCATCAAAATCAGATAAAAATTGTAACCGCTAGAGGGTCCACACTCCACAACTTTAGTATTACATACTTTTACACTATTTGCGTAGGCCTACTAGGAGCGGCCATTTTGTCAGGCAGTTTTGATCCGATTTTCACGAAATTTGAACTCATCCATCATTAACGTGTAACGATGATATTTGTAAAACCTTTTAAAATCAGATAAAAATTGTGACCTCTAGACGGTTCATAAGCTAAAATTGTGATTTTTATTACAAGGCACAAATATCGAAAGGAACAAAAATCTTTGGATTATAAACATACATTTCAAGTTTCATCAAAATCGGATAAAAACTGTGTCTACAACCTCGGTATGACATACGTTTACACTATTTGCATACAAGGAGCGGACATTTTCTCTGAAACATACATTTCAAGTTTCATCAAAATCGGATAAAAACTGTGTCTACAACCTCGGTATGACATACGTTTACACTATTTGCGTACAAGGAGCGGACATTTTCTCTGGCAGCTTTGGTCAGCTTTTTACGAAATTCGAACTTAACTTCATTGATGTGTAACAGTGACATATTTAAACGTTTTCAAAATTGAATACAAATTATGACTTCTAGCGGGTCCACAAGCTAAAAATGCAATTTTTCGAACAATCAGGGCCATAATACAGTTTTGGTCTAATTTTCATACAATCAAACTCAACCGACATTACAGTGTAGCAGTGACATATTCGAATGTTTTTTTAAATCAGATAAAAATTGGTACTTCTAGAGGGGCCACAAGCTAAAAACGTCATTTTTCGTACAATCAGGGCCATAATTCAGGAAGTACTATCCAATATGTGCAACTATTTAAAGGAACCAAGATCTCTGGGTTATAAACATGTATTTCAAGTTTCATCAAAATGGTGACCTGAAAAGTGTCCACAAAGAAATCGTGGACAGACGGCGACAATATACGTCCACATGAAAATGTGGTCATAAAATAATTACCATGGCTTAAATAAAAATGCATGGAAATGGTATATTAGGAAAATTAGACACACCTTTCCAAGTAATACCTGGCACAATAAAAGCTTTGTAGCACCTTGAATATAACCCATTGAATACGTTGGATATTCACTAAAATAAATACCATTGCCATATTTACTGCCATGTGTTTGTTTAAAGCCAGAATCACCTGAAACAATAAATTAAATAATAACAGGTCCTACCTTTCCAAGTAAAACTTGACATAATAATAATCTGGTAGATCCCCTTATATAACCCATTGAATAATCGGGATATTCACTAAAATAAACACCATCTCCATACCACTGTTTACCACTCGATGCTTGCTTAAAGTCAGGATCTCCTGGAAAATTGTTTAATCGTCTGTAAACAGGGGTATGGTTTGATGGTCAGCTTCTATTTACATGGGATGCCATAGAAACAAATACAAACATTGATAGGTAAAGTTATGAAAATCTGAGAGTAGGATAGGTATTTCAAGAAATCTCTGTATAAATAAGGAAAGCTGAAATTTGTGATATTATATCAGAGATGGGATTTCGCCCGTATACTCCAGACATGTCCGACACTATTTTCCAAACTAGCTATTATACTATTCAATCTAAACACATATTTTATAATATTACTAAAATAATATGAAACTTTTACCTAGCTTTTTAAATCCATTTTCACAGATAGGCTGAATATTAGCTTCAGCAGTGCCATGAAATGCCAGAACTGGAAGAGCACTGCCATCTCCACGTAATTTCTTCAGTTGTTGTTTAGCTTCTCTATTATCACATAATGTATAAGATATTAAAATTGTAGGCAAAAAATATCAAAGTAGTGGTATAATAGTTGTTTTTGTTAATAATACTATGTATTTTGTAATGACAATGGGTTGGAAGAGTAAGAGAGAGAGAGGAATGGGGTTTAACATCCACTAAAACACAAACTAGGTCATTTCCGGACTAACATATGGTTCAATTTTACTTCAATAGTTCATTTGCACGTAGGTGTTTTTAGCAGTGGGAGGAAACCGTACCACCACAAGAAAACCCACCAGATTAAACAGGCTACCCTACGCCTTGTTACGTACAATCAAGAAATCGCCCCCCACACACACACACACACACACACACACCAATATGTCGAGAACAAAATTTTTAAACCAGCGGTTGTCATGCAAGATACACCCACATTTAGCAAGAGATGAATAGTCAACAAACTAAAGTAAAAACATAAATTTTCGTACAATCAAGGGCCATAATTCAGTAAGTTATGGTCTGAAATATGCGAATATCAAAAGGAACTGAGATCTTTGGGATATAAACATACATTTTAAGTTTCATCAAAATCGGATACAAATTGTGACCTCTAGAGGGTCTACAACCTTTGTATTACATACTTTTACACTATTTGCGTACAAGAAGCAGCCATTTTGTCAGACAGTTTCGTTTCAATTTTCCCGGAATTCGAACTCAACCTCCAAAATGGTGTAACAGTGATATATTCGAACGTTTTTTAAATCAGATAAAAATTGTGTCATCTCCAGAGGAACACAAGCTAAAAACTAAATTTTTCGTACAATCAGGGGCCATAATCCAGGAAGTTATGGTCCGATCTGCATGAATGTCGAAAGGATCAAAGATCTTTGGGTTAACATACATTTCATCAAAATCGGATAAATATTGTGACCTAGAGTGTACATCAAGGGCCATAATCCATAAGTTACGGTCCGATACATGCTAATATCGAGAGAAACTTTTGGAGATAAACCTATATTTCAAATTGTGGTGGTCGCAACAGACAGGAGCGACGACAATATAAGTCCACTTGAAAATGTGGGCGTATAAAAATATCGAGAATAAAAAAATTTAAACATGATTGGACCTACTAAAATTTACCTTTCAAGAATCAGATTTTTTAAAGAAAAAAATTTGGATCTAAAACAAAGAAATATATGAAGTCCTCTGTTTGAAAAGATGAGCTCAATTGGAAATTACTCCGGTTTTTTTAAGGGTTTTTTTTTAGGGGTAATGTAGAGGTGGGAATTTTTTTATTATTAGGACTAATAATTTACTGACTTATTAATCATATGCAAGTTCTAATAAATTTGAGCCAGTAAGGCTGGACTCTGTAACCCATAAGACCTGGGTTTGATTTCGGTAAGGACAAGTAACAGAGACTGTACAATTGGTCAGGTAATTTATTTTAGTATGTGAAATTAAACTTAAACGGTACTTACGCAAACTTTTTTTTCAGAACTGGATTGACAACGTATTCCACTTTTGTAACGGAATACCTAAAATCAAATTTAACATAGAAACATGGTTTAAAGGAGCAGTCCCAGATTTCACAGATCACTGCAATAAAAGTCGATCTAAGTATATAAATCAAAAGTTAAAATGTTACTAAATAGTCCATTTGAAAATCTCAAATTAAAATACCCTTCCATTATATGAGTGACTTGCTAATTGTGATGATCACTAGCCACAATAATTTCATCAAGTATACAGCCAGTCACTTCTGGGGTGATTGAGATGGTTGCACAGGACGTTGATGTTTGGAAATGTCTTTCATGTCGATTATACCAGTAACTATTCACAAAATATATGAGGTGCACCTATACTTGTGTACATAAATTCAGAACACGATAATGCTACATAACATAAAAAATATTTGTAGTTGAAGTCAATTAAAAAAGGGAATGGAAGCTTACTGACCACATTTCCTGAAGCTGACGATTTCTGGTGACCTAATTCTGGCCTCTATTAATCCGATTATAAATGTCAGATGAGCACAATTTTGAAATGACACCCTTAGTACAGATTATATTTTATTCCTGATTCTCGGTCATTCTTCTTGACAGATCACAGGACTCCTGAGACGAGACTGGTTACTGTTTAGTTTTTTTGAAAATGCAATGGTTTATCAACTTACTATCTCTATGTTGAATTGTTTAATCAGTAGACTGATTCTTAAATAGTTGCAAAATTTGTTTAGAATACAAGCATTTAGTATTGTGAATAAGCAGCTAACTTGCAACTGTTCAGTTTGGAGTGTATCATTTAGAAACAACTAGTAACAGTGTGTGATGCAGTATTGGTTGTTTTCTGGACAGTGGTTTAACAACTTTCTGAACAACAGTCAAGTAATTAAACATGGCTGTTGGCTTCAACTAATGAATTGAGAATTCACTGTTTTTTCTTCAAAACCAAATAGCAAGCAGTTCCCAGAATAAAGATCGGGGCCCTTATTCACGAAAACTTAAACTAAGTTACAACCGAAATTTTAAGAAATACTGCCACTTTATTGGATATATGCAAATTGATTTTACTGGTCAACCAATCGAATTGCACTATTTCTTAAAATTTCGATTGTATCTTAGTTTAAGTTTTCGTGAATAAGGGCCCTGGGTATTTTCAGTTTCCAAATATGTTATATTAATCCTTATACTTACTTTCCATTGGTTCCAATAAGACGGCCAAATTGTGATTCTGCCACCCTAAAATGGTACTCTTCTGGTCTACTGTCATCATATGATCGTTTAGGAACCAGAGTAAAATAAACTGTCTTTGTACCTTTTAATGCATCTTCTTCACCCTTTAAAAGCTTATGTCCTCCTTTTACAGATAACTAAAATACAGTAAGTCGTTTTATATACTCAAATCAATAAAAACCTATGTTTTATAACTAATATTTTGTTATACACTAATTGAAAATTGCAATCTGTCATAGTTTTTATTTTAATACCAACTGAAAGGACCCTTTAAGATTTCCCCAGCACCACTCTGATAGGGGCGACAGACTTTATTTGAAATCCATTAAAGATACATTCCCACGTACAAACTGGGTGATTTGATGATATACTAAAAACATATTCAAACTAATTAATTTATCATAATTTTGCTTCAAATCCTTCTCAAAACATTGTAATTGCCAAGTAATACCCCTGCTATAAAAAAATCGATCAAAGGAAGTCGTGTTTGTGTCATGTGACTTATACTTCTCGGTACCTAGCAACAGGTGCGAAGTCGGAGGAGAATTCATTGCATACACAAGACGATGTTGTCTTTAATTGCTGACTATTTATTACAAATATTTGCCCAAAAGGGTTAAAAACCCTGATCAATATAACAATCCCATAAAAACATATCTGATTGCGAGTGTACAAATTATAAACCATATTCTCTTCGTACCAATATAATAAGACTGATGTAAAAATACTCTGATTACAAATACTTACCTTTTCATTACGAAAAACTTTAACTGGTTTATGTGATCCTCCATCCCGATATTCCGTCATCTCCTTTAAATCAACTGTATATTTACGATCTCGATGATCAGTAAAAGTTACCTTCCTTTCTCTATCTATAAGAGCTTTTTCTAATTTACTTGTTATTCCTGGTCCAAATGAACGGCGCCTTCCGCCAGGTGTTTCTTCGTATTCCCAGTCAACAAATTTGTTTATCATCTGTCTCTCTATTTTCTGCCGTTCTACTGAAGTCCACGACTGAATTTTGTCATTTACCTGAGGTAAGCAATCACTCACTTGTTTGGAAAGTCCTTTTATGGTCATTGTATTGTTGGACTTATCATGTTTTAATTTAACATGAAATGTATGAGCTATCTCTTTTAGTTCGTCTATCTACAAAACAAAGATGAAAGTTTACTAACTAATCTCCACCCAGGTTTCATTCCACTATGACAAACTGCACCAAAACCAAGATAACAGTTTACCAGTTACTGCTATTTTAATGCTTGACTCCCTTCTGACACAATATTAGCTATGAAAGTCACTTTCTATTCAAAAATACACTGTCACTTACCTGATGTTTTTTTAGTTTATCCAACTTTTTTTTATTACATTCTGATATGCTCTTTTCTTCAATTTCCCCATTTATTCTATCATATAACTTCTCCTTCACAACTTCCATCTGTTTCTCATTTTCAGCATATATAGTTAACATCACCTCATCATTATATTTCTTTTGTCTTGGTTCTTTTGTGTTTTCTATCAACAATTATAAATGGAATTGTAATTAAATAAACAATTTTATTTTTTAAAAACATCTTAAAGAGTGGAAAAATTATGGGGTGGTGCAGGTCCGTCATACCCTCCTGTATTTTTTTGTTCTTTACAAAAATAAAGTTTCTATAGTCTTTGATTGATTAAATACTACTTCTAAATAACTCCTTTAAAACAAAGTCCCTGGACATTGTCAATGGTTTGCTAGCTTTGCTCTCAAAGGATTTTCTGCACTTAGAAGCACACTGACAAATTGATCAAACTGACGAAAATTTGTGAAATATATGAATGGCATAATAAAGAGAATATGAGACAAAACTAAAGTATATAAATACAATGTAGAATTACTCTTGCAATATAATTAAGAAGATTTTTTTTTAAAGAGAGCTTTTTTCTCAATTTTTAAATTGGCGAGAGTTTTTTATAGCTCTCGCACCATTTTGTAAACGTGAAGGACTGCTAATGAAACAAAATCTCAAATATGTATCTCTTAAAAGAGAACTCCAACCATTTCAGATGCATGCTTTATGTTTTAAGATCATTCATTTCACCAATGCACAAACCAAATGATCAACTGTTTACCAAATAACACACTGGCTATTTGTTTACAGTGACAGCCAGTTACCCTCAATACATGACAGTTGGCATATTATTGGTTTATTAAAAAGGAAGCGATTGTCTTGTAACTATTTCAATACTACCATGAATGAGTTCTATTTTAATTGCTGTATTGATATATATTTCCCTCATACCACACTACATGACATACTCCTGTTTAAATAAACTCCCATTCACTACATTTCAACCATCTAGTACAGAATACATGTATATCCAAACAAGACTTGAAATGAAAGCAAGTCTTGGAAAGTTTATCCAGTAGACGTGGTACAAGGGTTAATCAGCGAACTGGATGTATGAGATGTGTTGTTGACGTTTTGGAAAGTAGGATGAGGGGAAATGTGTAGGGAGTGAAGTGCTGTAAAGGGATAGTTAGATGTATTATGAATGGTTAGAGTGGCTGTGGTGTTACGGTGAAATACTATGCCGCCACCGTAACACCACAGCTTTATGATTTGTTAGACAGGAGTGATGTAATGGGTGTCAACAACTGGGTATGCTGGTACCGTCGCAACGTAGCCGTGAAATATATATTGTGGGGGGGAAGGGCGGAAACGGAAAAATATACAATGTTGACAGTATGTGTCAGGCATGAGGCTGCGCAGACCGAGCGGCAGCTCGATAGGGAGTGTGTGGGAGGGTCACCCTCATAAAAAATTTTTTTTTTAAATTTCAGTTTTCTGTAAGCAGTGAAAACACTATTTTGGAATTGTTTGCGGGGTTAAACCTAAAAATCACATTAATACACCTATTGCACGATATTGTGAAACTAGCTGACGAAGACAGCTTGGGCGGCGATTGTTCGACTCGGGGCTGCTCTGTCAGTATCTAACAAACGCATTTAGTTCGTGTACAACTTTTAAAAACCGAATGTCAGTATGGTATTTCTCACATAATTGGTTATCGCAAAAACAGAGTAAACTGAAAGCGAGTAATCTCGACTCAAACCTATAGTCTGTAGCCTACTTACTACACGCGTCACTAGGCTTCCTATATTATTGTTTGTGGACGGTTTACTACTCAGTGATAAGCCTGCGCCGCAAAAAGAGGTCTCGCCTTTTATTATTAGTATAATGACTTCCTCATGTGCGGCAGGTTAGTTTGCTTCTAAAAACACTGTTTTCCGTTCCAAAAAATACAAAAGTAATTTTCTACCAGATGACCATGGTTCTTTTCACCGAGACTAGGTCAATAAATCCGCGGTCACTTCGGGTCACACTGTTGAGAAAATAAACCGATGGGTTTGTTTAGTAGCAAATCGAGCGTGAATCAACTGAGTTTGTACTGAAAAATTTTTGAGTGATATGTATGAACTGTCTTCACACATTCCGTTTATAATTAGCGATACACAGGTACAGTGGCAAGTGTTGTACTTCACAGACTGTTTACCTCCGAACTACCTCCGCACGAAATCCCCGATTTGGGTACTTGTTAAAAGAAAAAGAAATAGTACCTGTGCGCATGCCAGTAAAAAAAAACCTAAGAGTTCGCGCATAAAAATGCCCGAACGTACCAGGCGCCAGGTCATCTAGGAAAGTAATATCCAATCACAAATCTTTTATTTCATTTTAAACACTGTAAATAAAACTACCCACAGATTACTATATCCATTGCTTGAATAATTATATTTTCAATTAAAAATAATTCTGGCTGATTCAAATGGTGGTTTAATTAGCCTTGAACTAGCAGGAGGGAAAAAACAAATAAAATATTCCAATAATGGTAATTTATAATGTGAATGGTAGTCTTACTTTTGACATGCCTTTTCTTATTACTGTCATTCTTCGTAACTCCAAATACCCTTTCAAATTCCTTCATATGTTCCGCTTGATAAATAACTATCCTGATGTCTTTAATTTTAGAATGCTTATTTTTGTCTCCAAATGATTTAAGAGCAGCATATAGAAATTTAGCCGATTCTTTTGGCGATATTTTCAATCCACCTTAAATATAAAACATAGGATGAAACATAAAGCCTGCCACACACTGCAGGATAAAAATAAATATTGCATGCATAATTTATTGGCTGACTCATCACATTAATATCTTTTAAAAATAAGCCTATATTAATGGTCCTTGTTATCACATTTCAACATTTATAAATGGAGCATATAGGCCTAGAATAATGAAATGAAAGATCACCATCATGAGGCCTATATATGTGTCCAAAACTATAATACATGATACCAGTGGTTACCAGGCAAATAAGCTCACATTTTGCAAGAGATGGGTAGAGAACAAGCTAAAAAAAAAGCAACTTTTCGTACAATCGGGGGGGGGGGGGGGGAAGGGTTGCCATAATCCAGAAAGTTATGGTCTGAAATGCACAAATAACGATAGGGACTGAGATCTTTGGGATATAAAGATATATTTTAAGTTTCATCAAAACTGGATAAAAACTTTGACCTCTAGCAGGTCCAGAAACCCTTTGCGTGCATTTAACCTTCTTTATGATAGAGTAGCGATATATTAAAATGATTTTTAAAATCGGATAAAAATTGTGACCTTTAGAGAAACCTCAAGCTAAAATATACCATTTTTTCTTACCATCAGGGGCCATAATCCAGGAAGTTACAGTTTGATACACGCGAATATTGACATGAACCAAGATTTTTGGGTTGTAAACATACAGTTAAGTTTCATCAAAATCGGATAAAAATTGTGCCTTCTAGAGGGTCCACACTCCACAACCTTGGTATAACATACTTTTACACTATTTGTGTACAAGGAGCAGCCATTTTGTCCGACAGTTTTGGTCTGATTTTCACAAAATTCAAAGTCAACCGACATTATGGTGTAATGGTGATATATTCGAACAATCGGATAAAAAGCTGAAAGTTTGACTTATTGTACAATCGGGGGCATTAATTCAGGAAGTTATGATCCGATATGCACAAATATCGAAAGGAACCAAGATCTTTGGGTTAAGAAACATGCATTTCAAGTTTTATTAAAATTGGTTGAAAATTCTAACCTCTAAAGGGTCCACAACCTTGTTATACCACATTTTTACAGTATTTGCTTACAAGGGGTTGACCATTTTGTCCGGCAGTTTTGGACCGTTTTCATGAAATTCGAACTAAACCTACATTAAGGTGTGACGGTGATACATTCAAACGTTTTTTTAAATTGGATAAAAATTGTGACCTCAAGAGGGACCACAATCTAAAAACGTGATTTTTCGTACAGTCAAGGTACATAATTCAAAATTTACGATCAGATATACGTGAATATCAACAGGAACCAAGATCGTTAGGTTATAAACCTGCATTTCAAGTTTCATCAAAAAAATCGGATGAAAATTGTGACCTCTAGAGTGTCCACAGGATAAAAACGTGATTTTTCATACAATCAAAGGCCATCATCCATGAAGTTATGGTCCAATACACGCGAATATCGATAGGAACCGAGATCTTTGGGACATAAACCTATATTTCAAGTTACATCAAAGTCTGATAAAAGTTTTGACCTGTAGAGTGTCCACAAACAAATTGTGGATGGACAGACAGACGTCTGTCCGGACGGACAGGAGCGATGACAATATATATCCAAATAATAATGTGGGCATATAAAAATTTTGCTGTAAGGTTCGTTGCACACATTCCCGAACCAAGACGAATCTGATCCAATACAAGCAAATTTAATTAATTTAACGACAATTCAGAATTTTGCTTGCACAGTGGCATTACGACCCACTTTGTATAATATTATTTAAATGTTTTACCTGTTCCTATTGCTGGAAACGATATGGATGTTACAGGTTGTTTATTCAATTTATACAAGGCACTCTTTATAATTTTTTCCCATTCGTGAGGAGATTTTTGTATTTTTATGTGACAAATCATAGAACACTGTAGTTCACCTCCACCAGTTATTACAACACCATCTGTATACATTTCACCTTCTGAAATTATACAAAAACAGAAATGGCAATCACTATAATAAAACTTATCAGTGATGTATTTGAACGTTTTTTAAAATTAAATTACTCTGGAAGTAATCAACAGAAATTGTTTTACTAATTCAAATAATGCATATAAATTTCATACAGATCGGATGATAACTTTTGTCGTTCGAACATTCACAAGGTTCAACAAAGTAAAACAAGGGCCATAACTCTAGAAGTTATTGACGGAAATTGCTGACATTCAATGGGCTTCTTCATTTCACTAATTTAAATGATGCATATGAATTTCATACAGATTAAGTGATAACTTTTGTCGTTCAAGCATTCACAAGATTCAACAAAGTTAAACAAGGGCCATAACTCTAGATGTAATTAACTGAAATTTGCTGAAACTCAATAGGGTTGTTCATTTTACTAATTAAAATGATACATATAAATTTCATACAGATCGGATAACAACTTTTGTCAACAAAGTGCAACAAGGGCCATAACTGACAGCATAATTAACGGAAATTGCTGAAATTCAATAGGCTTCTTCGTTTCACTAATTTAAATGATGCATATCAATTTCAAACAGATCGGATGATAACTGTTGTCATTAGAGCGTTCACAAGATTCAACAAAGTGAAACAAGGGCCATAACTCTAAATGTAATTAACGAAAATTGCTGAAATTCAATAGGATTCTTTGTTTTACAAATTTCAATGATGCATAGAAATTTCATACAGATTGGAAATAACTTTTGTCATTAGAGCATTCACAAGGTACAACAAAGTGAAACAAGGGCCATTACTCACAGTGTAATTAACAGAAATTGCTGAAATTCAATAGGCTTCTTCGTTTCACTAATTTAAATGATGCATATCAATTTCAAACAGATCGGATGATAACTGTTGTCATTAGAGCGTTCACAAGGTGCAACAAAGTGAAACAAGGGCCATAACTCCAGAAGAAATTGATGGAAGTTATTGAAATTAAATAGGCTTCTTCAACTCACTAATATATCAATTTCAAAACAACCAGGGCCCTGTTTCACAAAAACTTAAACTAAAATCACTAAAAGAGATTTTAACTAAGATCAAACTGAAATTTTAAATTTTATGCATTTCACGAAGATCGATTGTAACTTAAAATGCAATTTTAATTGATTTTAGTTAAAATTGCTTGCACTCGCGCAGTGCACAATTCCGGTGAGGGCACTTAGGGTGTAAGCATACTTGCTTCGGAACTAACCGTTACAATACTAATGAGGAGGGTTTCAAACGTTGTAACAATGTCTGCACGTGGTCAGACAGTCGTAGAGAGACGAAATAAATAAGTTTATTGTGTGTTATTAGTTTTTAAATGTACCAGTTGGTTGGCCTTGAACTTGCATGTCGCTTTCGTGACCTTGGCATTTGATTTACTCGCAGGCTTCGATGGAAATAATGCGTATCGATAAACTAAATCGCTTAAATTTCATAGTTTTATGGTATTTTGGATAACAGAAACTATTGAGAAATTGTCACAAATATGTGATATTTCTAACTCAAATGATTAATAAAGTACTGTCGATTTTTAAAAGTATTTAATAACTTTTTAACTAATACACGAAATAACCAATGTTCCGATGCCTAGATTTGAAATGTCAGTCCCATGGACCCTTTCAATAATAATTTAAAAATGCTAAAGTGCCAATAGATCGCAATAGATCTCACAACATAGCTCTAATCAATGTGTGTTAATGTCGTGATTTTAAGTTAGGTAAGGGTGACGGCTATCCTAAGTTAAAATTGATTTTAGTTAAAATTTTCCCTAAAATAGTTTTGTGAAACGCCACTATTTTAAGTTAATTTTAACTTACAATATTATTTTAGTGGATTTTATCTAAAATGCTTAAAATCGTTTTGTGATACGCATCTATCTTAACTGAGGATGGAATTTTAGTTTAAGAAGATTTTAAGGAGATTTAAGTTTTTGTGAAACAGGGCCCAGATGATTAATGTACCGTAGTCTGTAGAGTGTTCACAAGAAATTGTGGACGATGGACGGACGGATGGACGGACCGACCGACAGACGGACAGATGGGGGCGACGGCCATATACAACCACATTTCCATGTGGACGTATAAAAAGGAACCAAGATCTTTGGGTTATAAACATACATTTTAAATTTTATCAAAATCAGATAAAAATTGAGGTTTTTTCGTGTAATCATGAAGTTACAGTCTGATGCATGGCAATATCGAAAGGAAACAGGATCTTTGGGAGGTAAACCTATATTTCAAGTTTCGTCAAAATTGGATCAAATTTGTGACCTTTAGAGGGTATTCAAACAAAATGTAAACGAACATACAGACGGACCCACAGGGCCAAAGACATAATACGTTAGATGCTATAAAAGATGGTTTTGTGATACTCATGACGTTTTTAACCACTCCCACTACTGGTGTCACCGCATCAAGTTTATTATGACTTGGATCCCATCTAAGTTTATGTTATTCAAATGGTTTTGGATTCCTCTCTCTTTATTGTTATTTGGATTCACATGAAAATGTGGGTGTACATAAATGCATAGAATTTTCAGCGAGCAGTTATTTTGATATACAGTTATCCATATTTTTGTGAATGATCTACTGTTGTTACTGAAAGGTAAATACTATTAACATATCCTTTTTACTTACTTTTCTGTGAACATTCATCTTGTATTTCAGGCCCACCTTTATCTGCTATAATTTTAGAAATACCTGTAATTTAGAGAAAATAACATTAATTCATATAGAACTAAGCCACTTTCTTACCGGTAGTTAAGTTAATGACACTCATGTCCACTTGAACAACTACAATCTTAACCTCAGATCCATTTTGATGCCACCTGCATGACTACTGTGTAGTTTATTACCACCGCAGAAACGTTTCAAATAACTGTACTCTTACTAAAGGAATTGACTTTTCAGTAGTTTCTCTGGTATATTGGGTCATATACCGTTACGCAAAACACTTGACTGATGCGCATGTGACCCTATATACCACAGAAAACTAAAATCTTAATTATCATTATCGGTAAATATATTACTACATGATAATTTGATGGAAGAACATAAACCCCTGAGCAAATAACATTTAATGATCAGTGATAAATATATCTAATTCTAAAATATTTATCTCTTTTTCAAATTTCCAATATGATAAAAATCAGTAATTATTGTTGATTGACTTATTAATTATCTTACTGAATGGACTGAATATTTGTAAACAGACTTACCATATTTCATTTCCATGTTACTGTTACAAATATTAACAATACAATCACTACTTTCTTTAGTTATATCACCATTACAAATTTTTACTGACATTCCTGCCACATACGCTATAAAAAATGAATTATATTTGAAAATGATATTATGTCCATCTTTCTGTAATGAAACTATAGATGTGATGTGATGTGTTGGGATGTGAATACTCTTACCTACAGAGTGGTCACAAGAAATTGTTGACAAAGGTAATGATAATATCCGTATAAAAATTAATATTTTTGTCAACCAATGGAAAAAGAGCAGTGCTGGATTTAAATAAAGAGAGGCAGGCACTAGGTCTTGGCTATTCCACTTTTGACGACAATCCAAATCCCCCTCCCTTACAACAAACGGAACATGGAAGAGTGTTTTAAACAGAATTGAGAAAATCCAAGGATGATAACAGGATTTTAAGACTACAGTGCATGGAAGAAAGTCATATGACTATAAAAATTTGTATACACCTTGACTGGAGGTCTCTAGATTTTGGGGTGCCTTCCACGACTATAGGTAAATCTGGCACTGTATGGGAGCCATTTGAATACAGTGACGAGATCAGCAACAGCTTGGTTTAACATAATTAGCACATGTTGCATGAGGAAATATGTGAGATAGTTTTTTGTACAGAATTTAAAAAAAAACAGCTTTCACTTGCCAGCAACTGAATTGACGACAATCAAAATAATTTCTTGGTTGATAATTTAGATATATTACTAAAAAGGCAGTAGTGTAATTACAGTATCAATTCTCACATAAATATATCATAACATGTGTAATATCCTGGTATACTGAACTAACCATCTGAAGATGCTTGATGTCTAGATGAACCATCTGAAGATGCTCTATGTCTAGATGAACCATCTGAAGATGCTCCATGCCTAGATGAACCTGAGTAACCTTTACTTGATGTTACTCCAAATTTCTCTCCAATGTCCTCATAGGCTTTCAATACTGTTGTGTCTTTAGGGTGTACAGCAAATAAAACTTGCTGAACTGAAGATTTGGGATTTTTCTTGAAAAAGTCTTGTGTTTCCTCAAAAACAATAGTTGCTGAAGTGTCAGCTGGAAAACCAAGATGACCACTACCCAATGCTGGGAAACAGATGATCTTTAACTTATCACTATCAGCAGTCTCCAAACAATTCTTTACAAATACCTTCATTATCTGTAACACAAATAATCTGTTTATTTCCACTTTCATATGAATTTGACCCATTTAAGACAGTGCACCTCAATCCCCAAAATACAAATAATTAACTTTACAAAAACAATCAAAATCATATATCTGTTACAATATGTTCCTAAACTAACCTTTTCTGCTCCTCTTTTGTCCTTTCTATAAGATAAAAGACATCCATGGTAGATTTTACGACAAGATAATTTCCCTGCAGATGTTGAAGCTACGTCTCCTGGAGTAATACCACCACTGTATTTCTCGTCACATTCAATTTGAACAGAATTTCCAGCATCATGTAATACAGAACGTGATACAGCACCTGATTTTAAATCTAGTTCTGGTGATGTACAGTTAACTAAAACATCAGCCTAATAAATGAAAATAAATTTCTGGTATAATTGTAATCAATATTTAAATATACATAATAACCGATGATTTTCTAATTAAAGGGGAATTAGGTAAGATTAGATAAAAAGCCGACAGTTCTTGCTGTAATAGTTAAAACAAGCCAACAGTGAGGCTGATGTCCCCCGCCGAAATCCCAAAATAAATAGATGACACATATTAATTAATCGCACATTTATTTTTTTCAAAAGCATCGAGCAATCGAACTATACACTAAGTTTCATCACTCTCTATCCGATAGAATCAAGATTATCTTGTCCAAAAGCATCAACTAATAAAAATAATTAGCTCTGCTTAGCTTTAGCTCGAAATGTTAATCATTGAACTTAGTCAAGACATTCACCTAATGAACATCTACATCAAGTTTAAACATTCTACCTCAATTAAAAGCAGAGTTGTTATGTTCCAAAGTCTAAGCAGAAAATTCGCACCATCGAACTTAGTCAAGGTAATGATATAATGAATCTATATTCGAACTTTCATCGCTCTCACTTCATTATAACCAAAGTTATCGTGCCCCAAAGCATCAACCAATCAGATTGCTTATCTCTGCTTACCATAAGCATACAATGTACATCATCGAACTCCATCAAGGCATTCACCTAATGAACGCCTACACCAAGTTTGAACATTCTACCTTTATTAGAAGGAGAGTTATTGTGTTCCAAAGTCCCATCAACCAATCAAATTGCTTATCTCTCTGCTTATTCTCCGTAGAAAATGTTCATTATCAAACTTAGTCAAGGCATTGATGTAATAAAGCTATACACCAAGTGTCCTCACTCTCACTTAATTAGAACTAATGTTATCGTATCCCAAAGCATCAACCAATCAAATTGCTTATCTCTGCTTACCCTCAGCAGAAAATACCCAGGTTTGAAAATTCTAGCTCAACTAGAAAGAGAGTTATTGTGTCCCAAAAAGTGTGACGGACAGACGGACGGACGGACAGACAGACAGATGGACGAACCCATTTAATAGTCCCCAGCCTTTCGAAGAAAAATAGATAATGTAAAGGGAATATGTTGAAAATTTCAGTCAATTTACTTCACCCTGAGCCTAGTTATCAGCAAGTCAATTACAGTCCAGCCTTGATTGTCATTGATACTGTTGTTGCGATAATAAACAAAGTCTCAATTATCCATTTTTATGGTAACCGCAAAACTTATTAAATCTACTTAATCTACTTAATATCTGAGTCGATTATGGTCTTGGTAAGTTTATTAATGTCTAATTAATAATTTATATAACATTTAAGGCCTAAAGAAAGATCAGCTATAGGCAGATTTAGCTCTTACATAATGTATGTTTAAAGGGGCTGATCGGTTGAATGAAATGAAATTAAATAGGGTTTAACATCCTACTGTTCTACTCTGACTGGGCTAATGAAGATGGGCTGTTTAGTCAAATTATGGTGTTCTATTTCGGCCATTTATAGAGAAAAAAAAAGCGACGCCTTTTCTAAACGAATATTGTTTACAATTTTGGTCATGAAATGTGATGTACAAGGAGAATTCATTTCCAGTTTATTTGCCGTTTGGTATTTTATCTTCAATACAGTAATTTATATTGGACACAAGGAACTGTGAAGTGTCTGGGTTTCAGAAAAACTAACATACCTTTTGTTTGGTTAGTTCTCCACATACAATCTTTACTCTTGTTGAGTCCAAAGCTTAAAAATCAAACACATTAAAATAAGTTACAAAGTAAGAACATTAGATAGGGAAATTAGAACTTGCATGGTATAGGAATTGTAGTTTTATATCCTTCAATTACAATATTTAAGAATAAGAAAACTCAAAAATATAACAAAGACTTGTAATTTTATTTCACCATGCCTAATTAGATAATGATTAATTGGTATCCTCCCTTGGTGTCCCTTATTTCATATTTCTAAAATTCTCAGATTGTCTCCAATTTCAGTCTTTGATGTTTTGCCAGTATAAAGCCTTGTTACTGTATGGTCAATTAACAGTATAATGTACCTTACATGGTACCCATGATACCGAAAGAGATTCAATCGTTAGAGAGCTAGACTAGATTATCAGGAATGGTAAATCAAGAATGACTCGAGTAACTTATGTATTGAGAATGAATAGTCCAGCCTCTGATAGTTCCTCCTGGTATGTCTTTGATGGACATATCAGTAAATGGGAGCTATCCTTACATATACCTATAATAATATTAATATGTATATTAGGGGATATTCAGAAACAATACAAAACTGCGGAAATGCACTGCTGTTTTTATTAGAGGTAACCAGTGTATGTTAATAACAGGCCAATTGCCTACACATGAACATAAACAGTTCATATGGGCAGTTCATATGGGCAGTCTACCTGACAGCCCCATTTCACTCGCAAAGAGATACACTGTCAAAAGTGAAAATGGACGTTTTTGATTTTTGTCTTAATAATGTAATTGCTCCACCAATCCTCAGACATTCAGCAATTCATCATGGCATGCTCGTAATCAACCATCCAATCACGATTTGGGGCAATCTGACCCACTCCTCTTGCAGTGCCACGGCCAATTCTTGCAGTGTTGTCCATTGACGTTGACGTCGGCGAACACGTCTCCCGATCATGTCCCAGACATGCTCTATAGGGGAAAGGTCAGGACTCATGGCTGGCCAAGGCATATGGACAGAGAACGTTGAGCAAAAGACAGAACTATCGGTGCCAGGATGTGGTCACGGTAGTACACACCAGTGACCCTTCCTTGAACAACATGCAAGTCCGTTCTGCCAGTCATGGTGATTCCTAAACATGCCATAACAGACCCATGCCCGAATCTGTCATGCTGTCTGACTTTAGCATGGTGCTCATTTACACCCCTCCAAATGCGAGCACGCCTATCAGTGAAATCCAGATTAAATCTGGACTCATCTGAGAACATTACACACGCCCATCGACGATTACCCCAATTTCTACGCTGCCTACACCATTGACGCCTGTTTACCATGTGCTGGCGAGTTAATGGAGGCACAACATGCGGATGTCGTACATGCAAATGGGCTGCATGTAGCCGATTTCTAATCGTTTGGGGTGTAACTCGAATTCCTGTAACTTGGTACAAGTTTACAGAAAGCTGATTGGCCGTTTGTCCTCGATTTCACAGGACCTATGTATGAATGTATCGATCCTGGGCTTGTGTAGTGGCTCTAGGACGATCTGAACGAGGTTCATCATCAACATTGTGTGTTTGTTGTTACCAGTTCCACAGTCTGCTGATCACAGACTGTGACAGATTAAGCATGTTGGCTACTGCTCGCTGTGTAGAACCCATTTGAAGCATGCCAATAGCACGTAGACGTTCATATGTTGAAGACGTCTCATTGCACATTAAACGTAACACGCTATACAATAAATCTTATGCAAGAACCGATAGGAAAGCGAACATGGATAGGATAAACCAGCACGCGTCAGTTTTCATCAACCCTTCCTTCAAGTGTCAAATTTGACATTGAACCCCTGACACGGATATGGCGCACGTGCAGCTCTGTGGTTATGTTGGGGCAATAAGTTCTTCATCTGTGAACATACTCTCAAAGCATGGTAAGTGTCCATGACTATTTATCATATCACAACCTGCATAGGTATTTGCATTTCAATATCCCTTACTTTTTTTGAAGAGAACATATCAGGTTTAGGTACCAGAGACTGATGTCAGTAATTGAAGTTAGATATATAATAATGTTCACTCATTTGTCCATAAAACAAAGATAACAGCTTGTAATCTTATTGTAAAAACAACAAAATGGTCAGAGCTTCAATAAGGCTCTGAATGGACCTAACAGTGACTTCTTTGGAATAAACTGATTAAACTGAAACATTTAACACCAATTTAATTGGTTTAACGACAAATAGATTTCAAGTGGGGCAGCCAAACCAATATCACTCAGCTTTATGGTTCAATTTTATTTCAATAATTCGCTTGTGCATAGGGGTCTTTAGCAGTGGGAGGAAACCGGAGGACCCGGAGAAAACCCATGAGGTTGGACAGGCGACCCTATTCCTTGTTACATACAACCCGGTGAATCGAAACCACACCAGTTGACTACAAACAGCCAGAAAGATGGGGGGATCAGGCAACCACATTTCACAGTGGGTGTATTATAGAAATGAGTGACCATAACTGTGTATCATTAATGTCTATCGCTCAAACTCAAGTTGTTTTTATTTACTACAATGAACATTATTGTCGTGAACAAAATAGCGTCAATTGAAGATACTTTGCCCTGACCAATATTCACTGAAGCGTAAAGTCATAGACAATCTGGGCTCGAGAAATTAAAACTAGGCCTACATATTTTCTACTGGGTATAGAATAAACATCAGTAAATAACTTACATCTTCGAGTCTTTCCAAAACATGACCATCCTGTTTCATTGTCTGAACCTGATCCATCATCTTCATGTACACCATCATCATCATCATCATCATCTTCATCATCCTCCTCAGTAGAAGATTCATCTTCTTCACTGTCATGGTGGGATTCTAATGGGACTCCACCTACAGCTCCATTCTCCTGATCAGTCCTTTGGGAACCTTTTCCTCCCAGTTCTTTCTGTATAACATTGATGTACATTTCAAGTATCCCCATCTTGGTATCACATAAATATACCTCTTTTAGTTCACTGGCATTCTTTATCAGAAAACTGTACACAGTTTTACCAATGACATTGGCTGCCTCTTGTTTTGGATAGTGAAATATTCCAGTACTAATTGGTGGAATGGCTACAGACTTGAGATTTTCATTTGAAGCAGCGATGAGTGAATTCTTCACAGTTTTCATAAGAATATTTTCTTCATCATTTTTTCCTCCTTTCCAAAGTGGCCCCACCGCATGTATGACCTTCTTACATTTCAAATTTCCAGCACTACTCACCATAACGTCCCCATCTTTTATCTGGCTATATTTATCAATATATTTATCACATTCTCTCTGTATATCTTTACCACCTACAATATATGCAATATTAATGTAGCAATTAGTGATGTTTACTACTTGAACAACAGTCACATGGTTAAACATTCTGCACAGAGAGATCTATATACTTCATACTTCGAGAAAAAAAATCTCTACCCTGAGCTATTTTTGAAAAAGGAATCTGCAACAGGTGCTCAGGTTGGGAATCTTGAGCAGTAGAGTATTATTCATTGGTAGATAAAGGGTGGTGGGGTGTGAGGACTGGAGGTGAACTTTAAGTAGTCTAAAAAATTGCTTATCATGTGTCTGTCATGAAATGTCCATACAGAATTAGTCTCATATACATTATGACGGTTAATGGCAACCTTGTGCTTAATACACTAGTCCTCCAATTTCCTAATGTGACTAAAAGAACGAGTCCTGTGGCATGCACGTATATACGTAAGAAGAGTATTAAATATTGCCACATATATGTCTAAAATGAGTCAAGAGGAAGTGAAACCTTATTTCAGTCTCATTTTCTTTTCATTCCCTATTTTAACAACAATTTTTCCCCAATAGAAAATAGACGATAATAGATGGAAAACATTACTTACCCATATCAACAATAGCTCTAGCTAATCCTGCCCCATGTTTCAATTGTCCATTAGCAGCATTTACAATAGCATCAACTGTAAGTAATCTGATATCTCCTTTAACTACATAAATTCTGGTAGAATTTGGTAAACTCCATTGTGAAAGCATTTTTCGCTGTTTGGATGCATTTGGGCCTTCCACTATTAGACATTTATTTTGTTTCATAAGCCATGTTAAGATTTCTTCACCTTTACACAGACCGGGACCATGATTAAATAATATACCCAATCCTGGTACTTTTATTGTGAATGTTTCCATTTGAATTCTACTACATTCCATTCCAAGCTGAGCTTTAGCCTTTTCTATTCCTTGAGCAGTTCCTTTTAATTCACATGACATTTCTGAGAACTTTATGGATACATGGAACTCTGACAGCATTTGTTCAACTGTTTGTGATTGATATTGCTGTAGAAATTTCATCCTGTTTTCATCAGCAGCATGATATCGTTCCGTTAATACAGTGTGGCAATCTAAGTGTTTTTCTATTTGTTGTATAGCAGAATCTACCTTGTTGGAAAACCCTGTTACTGTCAAACGCAGAGTTTCTGGATTTGTCTGCATCTCAATATCATCCTTGTTGTTATCTTTTAAGGATTTTACTAATTCTCTCCAATCTTCTGATTTAAACATTTTTTTATTTGGTAACTCAACTGATTTTGAACTAATTTCTTTCTGTATTAGATCTCTAGCTCTTCTTTTGTCTTGATCACTGTCTTGCGTTACCAGTACGACTTTTGTACCTTCAACACCTACAGAACAGTTTATATTTGCTACTTTCAGTTTCGTTTCAATTTTATCTTGTGTACGGGTATTATTCAGAAATTCCAGAATGATGGTTTCATCTCTGAACAATTCACTGCTATGAAGACGATGAAACTGTTCTAATATGAACAGTTTCATGCCTTTAGTTTCAGATTCAGGGCCTTTAAGACATATGTAATCTTCTTCAAAATTTATCGTTATTTTTGACCACTTTTCCATTTCTCTGCTGCCAAGAAGGAATTTGCGGAAAAAATTAATTTCAGTTGGTTTCTTTTCCACTTTCTCCACTTTGAGTTGTTTCTGTTTCATATCTTCCTCCTCCTGTAAAATGATATCCTTGCATTTCTTATAACAATTGGCAACTTTCTTTTCTCTGCCAACAATATATAGAGTTTTCCCTTCATATATAAATGAGGCTCTGGCAGATATTTTTGGGTCATTTTTCATTGCATTTATGTGTAAGTGAATGTTGATACCATCTGGAACTGGAATTGTTTGTGTACAAAGAGGTTTCATTATATTTTCTAGAATTTGTTGAACTTCTTGTTTTTTGGCCTTGATGTCCTTCACATACTCTAGAGTCATCAAAGAAAAGACCAACTGATTTGCTTGTGCTTTCACAGATGTATATTGACATCCAATGTTTTCGAGTTCTTCCATCATTTTTTTACTTGAAATGTTCTTTGCCTGTATATATTTTGCCAGATATTTATCATTTTTATCTACCGCAACTTCAAATGCTTCTTCCTTATCGCAGAATTTGTCTGGATCGTCATTGTACATACTGAATTTAGCTTTTACATCATGTATATTTGTAGCATTAAGTACAACTTTTTCAGCAACTAAAATTAGAAATTTAAACAGCTTATCCTTATTTGAATCGTGTAAAATAAAATTCAATAAATTTATTTTAAAGCAACATCAAGCAAAACAAAACGGTATCAATTGAAAACATTATCCAGCCTTTTACTAAACTAATACATTTAGTAATCCCGTCCCCCCTGGTTCTCTCCCCTTGAATCCAACCATGCGTATGTTTGAGTTTTACATGTCAGCATTGATTTGCTACCATCAAAGTCAGGAGATTGTCTTACTTACTGCATGCTTGATTATAATAGAAATTTGTAATTCAAAAAGCAGCTTTTGTATTTGACTTTTGGTCATGTTCATCTTTTTGATAATAACTCAGGCCAAAGAAAACTAATAACTGTGTGTATGGTTGTTACTTAGCAAAGATAAATAGAGATAGTCAGAATATATTCTTCTTTCGTGGGGTTTGTGAGGTAAGACTGGATAAAACTAATTAACCTACAATCTACAGTACAACCACATCAAACATGCACCAGTAGATCACTAAACAAGAGATCCAGCAGGGTTTCTCCTTCAGAGGTGCAGGAGGGAACAACGTCTAGTCATTCAGATGAGACAAAAAGAGAGGTCCTGTGTACATGTAGAGAATCACATAAAAAATCATTGACAGTTGAAAATCATGTATTGACTGGCCTAGTTGGTGCAGAAAAGTAGGACGTTAAACACCATTTCATTAATATATGCCCCATGTTCTGAAGAGGATTGACCTATGATCTGCCTGCCAAACATCAGCAGAGGATTGTGTATCAAAATTATTTTTTGTAACCATGTCATAAAAATAAAATAAAACCAAGTACGAACAATCCAAACCATTAGACAAAATTCGAAGTCCTAAAAAAACGGTATAGGCAAATTAGTGTAATAAGGCAAAATAGTGTAATCAGCATATGGACTGTTCACCGTGTACAAAATACATGACAAACAGGTGTCCGGAAGAGTAAGCTTACCCTGCCTGGCGCCACACCCGCCATAGCTGCATCCAAACTATTAGGCGAAATCTCGGTAAAATAGCGTGATTGGCCAATGAACTATCGGTATGCAAAATGCACATGATGAACAGTGTTAACGATGTAGTAGACAGACATTATCAGGGAGATTGTATACGCGTCAATTAAATATATCTAGAATAATAGCAGAGAGAGACATGTTATATTTACCAATCAAGTCAAAATGACGCCCATAAAACTTTTTAAAGGTTTTAATAAGTTTAGTTCGCAAGTATCCTTGTAGTTGAAGCTTAGATGACAAATATACAAAGAAACATAACTTTACAGGCAAAATATAACATACACATAGTGAATCAACAGAGGATCTGTGGAGGTTCCATCGATCAAAGTTATAACATCTTAATAAAAAAATCATGTTACATGTCCTAACTGACATGACACTGGTTTTAATTTACCTCATTGTGACATGTGCATGCTTATTAGTGTCTTAAATGAGCTAAACTTCTATGATTTCGGTCAAAACAAAGTATTGAATAAGGTTTATCTGATGTTTTATTTGACAAGCTCTATACCACTTTACTAAATTTAGTTAAAATTTTTGCTTACTGAGTCAACAGTGGAACAAAAATTATGGCTATATCGATAGATGTAAAATGTTTAACAAAGATGGATTGCCATCCTACTAACACCCAAGGACATCGACAATGATGTTTTTTGAGGTAAAAAAAAAAAGAGGTCTAGTCATCTTAACATCAACTCATTTGATCCAGCGGTTACTCAGATCTACCAGCCTGTCCGGCCTCTGCTACATTTTTAAGGGAGGGTTGCCGTTCCCACTTTCATTTTCTATAGTATTCAAAGATTTTATACAAAATCTCCACTTACCTTTTTGCTTTTCAAAGACAACTAGAAAACTGTTTGTTTTTCTATTATGTTTCACCTCCAGTATTGGACCACCTTTCTTTTTATTTTCAAGATTTAATCTAACAGCATCCGTAGTTAGAGTATCATCATCATTAACTATTTCTACCAGCACAACTTTACATTTATCTTCATTACAATCTACAAAATATTTATTAGGAGGTAGTCAACATTCCTACAAAATCTTGCTCAAGTGGTAATAAGAAAATACATTATTTTGTCCTTTAAGTCTAAAACATTAATCAACACAAAGTATATCTAATAGGCCTTATGTGTATGCACTATGCAGTCTACCTGACACAGTGCATCTTCTAATATGGTGGACAGACTTAAAATCAGAGTAATTATCATAAAGCATTTCAATTTATATTCTGGTACTTCAAAACAACTACCCTATGTTAGGGTGCCCTACCATAAATAAATATCTCCAAATATCTCGACAATTACACCACAACATTTATATATATACCAAGCCTTAAATCAGTTTCACACATTTATAGTCACTAAATAAATGGTTATGTTATACTTAATTAACCATCAATAAATAATATACTGAAAAATGGTTACAAGTGTCAGCCATAACATCTGGGCACTTTTGAGTAAAAAATAGGTTACATGCCCTTGTTTTGAAATTAGTCTCGCTTAACAAGTCAACCGACCATTCTCCATCTGATTGACAGGCTAAGATAATCAAGACTACTTTTTTATGACATATAACAGAAAGCTGGAACAAGAAATTGAATTTAGAAACACGCACGTCAGGCAACTCAACAATTGTTTTAAGAACCTTGTAAAAGTAAAATGAAACTACTGCTAGTATCATGTTCTTGCCTAACCCAAGTGTTTCAGAGATATTATTTGTACTAAATCAAAAAATGACGATCCTAACGGTATAGTTAAAGATAAAGCAATTTAAATAATAAACTCAACGTAATTTCTAAAGCTGCTGTAATAACCAAAAAGCTAATTATTTCTCCTATCCCTAATCGTCAACAATAGAGAATTTCACATGCGATGGCTATTTATAGACTCATTTGCTGAGTTTTATCGCAGCGCGTGACTAGCCAGAAATCACTTAGAGACAAGCCACTGAAGCGTGCACATTCGCCGTGTTGAGTTCAACTTTCAGTAGGGAAAATTTTGGTTGCATGGGGCACTCTATCTATGTTACAATCCATTTGAATGTCTAGGTTAGGTATAAACTGAGCATCAGACTAGACTAATTACGCAGATCTGTAGGTAAAAGAACATTTGTTTCTTCTCTTAGGCTCAAAGGTAAGCAACATTTTGAAATAAGGAGTTAAAATTTCTACAGACAATTAATGTTAAAATATTCATCACTAAAAATCAATAGGTTTCTTCGTCTCATGACCATAAACAATGTGCACAAGTTTTAAGTCAATCGGATCATAACTTTAGCTTGTACAGCATGCACAAGATATTTCAAAGTGATCAAGGGCCATAAATCTGGAAGTAATTATCAGAAATTGTTAAAAATCAAAACGCTTCTTCAAAGTGTTCAGGGGCTATAGAAACAGTAATTATTCACTACTTACCTTCATCAGATTTGATTGTATTTTCTGCCAAGCTTGATAAATTGTTGGCAGGGGGACATTTTGTTGAACTTGAATCAACAGCAGATGTCAACTGTTTATTGGGAGTATCTAGTTGTTGTATTTTGTCTGGTTGTTCTTTTGGTGTATTACCAGATTGAGATGTTGATATATCAGATGTAGGTTGTTGTATTTTGTCTGGTTGTTCTATTGGTGTATTACCAGATGTAGATGTTGTTATATCCCATGGAGGTTGTTTATAACCTGCTACTTTTGTACTGACTGGAGAGGCATCTGATACTGAATTCATAGATCCATATCCAGACTGATACCGGTTATTAGGACAAGGTGTCATATTAGAATTGTAATGTGATGGCATATTATACATAGGTTCATATCGAGGATAAGGAAACTGATACGGAGTTCCAGTGAATGGCCATGGACTCAAGTTAGGATTGACAGGTCGTGCCATCGGTGGGTATGGTGTAGCAGGTATGTATTCTCCATGTTTAAATCTATTAGCTGATAGTTCAGTAACAGGTGCAGTATCAGGTCTATTAGGTGATGGTGCAGTATTAGGTCTGTTAGGTGATTGTTCAGTAACAGGTCTGCAAGGTGGTAGTTCAGTAACAGGTCTGTTAGGTAATTGTCCAGTAGCAGGTGTATTAAGTGACTGTTTAGAGGTAGTCTTATCATGACTTTGATACTTGTCTTCTGTGTGGCAATTATTCAATTCATGATCTAAACCATTTTTATTTGTACTGGGATCATCATCGCCCTTACTACAAGTACTGCTATTACCTCTATCCTTATGAATAGTGGTTATTACAATATCATCATCATTATCATCATCATCATCATCATCATCATCATCATCATCATTGTTGCATATTTTTTCACCACCTATATTTATACCATTGTCTGTATCTCTCATACTACGATCATCACCATTGTCATCATCATCATCATCCTTGTTCCGTATTTTTTCACCATCTATATTTATACCATTGTCTGTACTTCTTAAACTATGGTTATGGCAATCATCATCATCATCATCACTTGGCAATGAGTGGTAAGTTTCTTCATCATCATGACTTTGGCTATCATCAGTATTTGCCTTGGCATTTTGGGGGTTCATAGTATTATCTGGTGACCCACGTCCATGCTGTTTTATACTCCCTTCACAAGAGCATAAATTTTCTTGTCCACTGTGTCCATCCATCTTTATTGTCTGTGGATATTTGTGTATTGTTGATAGTTGTTTTTTTCTGACTAGTTCCTGATTAACTTCCTCTTTCCAGCTGTCAATATCGGTGATCAGGTTTTCCGTTATATCAGGTACAACAGCTGGTTCCAAGTAACTCAAGTCAGGAAAAGGTTCCAAATTTTCTTCTTGAATATATGTAGCAGATACAAGATTTGAATGTCTATCTACTATGGGCAAATTACCATTTAAGGTTTCATCAGGTTGGTCTTCACTTTCATCCTGCTGATTTAAAAATATAAAATTTGACAATGAGAACTATATCATCTGATGGGTTAAATGAATTATTTTAATGGGAGACAAATAAACGTTCAATATAGTTGTCCATATAGATTGCTAAATTGCAATTCTTTCTAGGATAAACAAGTAGTTGCCATGCAAGAAATGCCCACATTGTCAAGTGGTGAACGGTGAACAGTGAAAATCAATGTGGTCTTGAGACGAATGCTTCGCATCAAATTTGAAAGATAGGTTGCCAGACAAAGAAGCATAAGCTCATAGCAGCTAAGTCGTCCGAGCAATCCACAAGCAGTCGCATATTTTTTTTCTTTTGTCGGTGATGAAGAACTTAAAGGCTGTGTAAATTTTTTTCAAAGTGATCAAGGGCCATAAGTCTAGTAGTAATCATTGTAAATTGCTGAAATCAATGGGCTTCTTTGTCTCATGACCATTTAAATTCAAAGACAATCGGATGATTATTTTGGCCTCTGGAACGCGAACAAGATTTTCAAAGTGATCATGAGCCATAACTCTAAAAGAAATTATCGGAAATTTTTCACCATAAGCACTGTGTATAAATTTAAGGTCAATTGGTCTCTAGAATTTTGAAAGTGATCAAGGGCCATAACTCTAGTAGTAATTATCGGAAATTGATAAGATAGGTTGCCGGGCAAAGCAATATACACCCATAGCTGCTAAATCGTCTGGGCAGTCAACAAGAGTTGTCGCATATTTTTACTTTTTTAATAATAATAATAATAATAATAAGTTCTTTATTTTCAAAAAGGGTGAAAAATTAGGCTTTGCAGCCTGTTTACAATTCTGCCCTTAAATGAGAATAGTCAAAACAAACATACACATATATTATACATACAAGGAAACTGAATAATGAAAATGTATTCTTTACATTTATAATACACTAAAATCTGATTAAGAGTAACAACTCATTAAGTAATTATCAGAAAACCATTAGAATTTGTTTGGTTTTTATAAAGTTCTGCCCCATGCTAACGTTTAGTATACGAAACTTTTCATATTATGGATTTAGCTGTTCACGTTATAAAAGACAGGGGTGTTCTATGGCCGAATGATTAGCATGTGCGCGCTGTATCATAATGCCTGTCATTGAGTCAACTGGTATGGTTGCCTGTCCAAACTCGTGGGTTTTCTCCGGGTCCTCCGGTTTCCTCCCAATACTAAAGACCCCTACGCGCAAGCGTTTTATTGAAATAAAATTAAACAATATGTTAGTCCCGAAATGACCTAGTCTGTGTCAAGTGGACTTTAAACCCCATTTACCTCTCGGCCAATGCAGATTTATCCAGATTTTCCGGCGTGGTTTCCCCTTGTCAGTGATGCAGGACAGGGGGCCTGACAAGGACAGCTGACTAGTGGTTTGGATGGGACGAAAAACCGAGGTCCCGTGTACATATTGGCATGCACGTAAAAGATCCCTTGGCAGTTGGAATTCGATATATAAATTCCATACAGATCGGATAATAACTTTTGGCATTCGAACGTTCACTAGGTTATACAAAGTAAAACAAGGGCCATACCTCCAAACGTAATTAACGGAAATTGATGAAATTCGATAGGCTTCTTCGTTTCACTAATTCAAATGATGCACACAAATTTCATACAGATCGGACGATAACTTTAGTCGTTAAGAGTGTTCACAAGGTTCAACAAAGTAAACAAGGACCATAACTCCAGAAGAAATTAACAGAAATTATTGAAATTAAATAGGCTTCTTCATCCCACTGATGTAAACAACATATATTAAATTCAAGACAATTAGTTGAAAAATGTAGCCTGTAGAACGTTAAAAAAATTGTGGATGACGGACGGTCAGGGGCGTTGGCAATATACGACCACATATCTTGGAAAGTTGTTGGAACGAAGAAATTTCTAAAATAAATGTTAATTTAAAAAACCATTATGATTATAACGGTTTCTTCCAGGTTTGAAAACAAAATTGATGGCACTTGGAAAAGAAAAACACTGTGGCAGCATCAGTCTCTAGATTCAAAGTATTATGAATCATCTCTATTGGTGTGCTGCGACCAGAGACGAAGACGATTCAATGCAGTTACTTTGTCAATCACATCCAGAAGTACCACCACGAAACCATTTCATTTCATAAAAGCTGACATTTAATTATCTCTTGACTTCATAGATGTTCATAGTGCCGTCGATAACAATTTTACACTCATCTTGTTGTCTTCGTTGAAAGCGAATTATTGTACAGGTTACTGTTGGCTTACTCCAATTTATTCTGATCAAAAGGACACAACAACTGTCTTTGTTATGGTATTATAAAACAAATTCTAAATTGGATCTTTGATTAAAATAAATTACAAAACAAATTATTCTGTAGTCAATTGTTTTATTTACCGGTAAGTAGGGGATTAAGGAATCAGTCAGGCCGGCTGTATATAGGTAATTAAGGAATAAACATTCCGAATATGCATTCGGTCACTGGCGACCAATGGTCTATATTTGCGACTGTGAGTGAAGATGACTGATTTAATTTTAATCAGATTGGAGAGAGAGAGAAATGGGGGTTTAACTAGGTCATTTCGGGACTAACATATGGTTTAATTTTATTTCAATAATTCGCTTGCGTGTAGGGGTCTTTATCAGTGGGAGGAAACCGGAGGACCCGGAGAAAACCCATGTGGTTGGACATGCGACCCTACTCCTTGTCACATACATCCGGGGATTCGAAACCACGCCAGTTGACTGAATGACAGGCCTTATGATACAGCACTTAATCAGATTGGTGTGAACTTGCAGTAAAGTGTATATAGTAACCACTGGCTACAAGTACCGAAAATTTCATATGATGACCTTATGTGCACTTTAAGTTTCATCTAGGGCACTAACTAACCTCTGGAATAAACTATAACACACACTTATGGAAAAACAGCTACTTATTTATTTGGGCGATGTTTCGAGGAGTATTCTCTCAACGTTGTCAAGCTAATAGTGTAATACAAAAATTATGAGGCTAATTTATACAGAAAATTATAAAAACAATTCCTGAAACCACACAGGACAACAAGATCAAAGGAGGTGAAAAGCGCAGACCTTTGGGAATGATGTTGTTGCCTCTGCATCACATCAGGAAAGTAAGGTTAAGTCTTTACAAATTTTCCTTCCAATCTGTTTACTGCATTGATAGAGGATACTGCCACATTTTCATATTATAGTTTATTGCTCTATCCAGTTACTAAATGCCTCTCAAAGATTATTATCGACATCATTATGGAGATGTGGCAGTATCCTCTATATATGCAGTGAACAGATTGGAGGGAAGTAATAAGCTAACAGTGAGGCCTCAATCACAAAATAAACAGATGACACTTATTAACTTGCACATTTACTATTTTATAAAGCAGGAAGTCGGGTTGGTTCAGTGAGTAATAAAGGTACATGCTCACTTACTAGGAGGTTTTGGATTCGATCCCTGTCAATGGTGCAGGCCGAATAGTCTGGCAAGGACAATGTCTAGTCATTCGAATGGGACAAAAAAAATTCCTGTGGACACACTGCTGTACACGTACAAGAAAATAAGCCTGGGCCATTGTGCCCCTGTTCATGCAAAATTTCCCTCACTATCCCAGTTGGTGAAGAAAAACAAGTCGTTTAAACCCCATTTCATTTCAATTTATAAAGCATTGAACAATCAAATGAACATAGTCAAGGTATTGATGTAAGGCCAAGAAAAAAACACCTGTGTTTACGGTTACTCTGCCCCAAAGCTTTATAGCATGGAAATACATTCACACATCACAAGTTTTTCGTCAAGTGTGAGGTGTACCTCTCAAATGTTGAGAAAGAGAAATAGGGTTTAACGTCTACTCGCCACAAACTAGGTCATTTCAGGACTAACATATGGTTCAATTTTATTCCAATAATTAGCATGTGCGTAGGGGCCTTTAGCAGTGGGAGAAAACTGGAGGACCCGGAGAACATCCACAAGGTTGGACAGGTGACCCTACTCCTTGTCACGTACAACCGGGGAATTATGGTGGCTAATTGATATCATGTCGTGATGTCGCCTTTCATAAGGCGACAACCTGACAACTCGACATCACAAAATTTTAACCCAACACCACGACAATCCGACATTTTCACCTGACACCACAACATTACCAGCGGCTGCCAGGCAGTATATGCCCACATTTTCAAGAGATCGATAGAGAACAAGCTAAAAAGAAAGTGATTTTTCCTACAATCAAGGGCCATAATTCAGGAAATTACAATTCGATATGCGCAAAGATCGAAAGGAACCGAGATCTTTGTGTTATAAACTTACATTTCAAGTTTCAACAAAATCAGATAACCAGCAGCTGCCAGGCAGGATACGCCCACATTTTCGAGAGATGGATAGAGAACAAGCTAACAAGAAAGTGATTTTTCCTACAATCAAGGGCCATAATTCAGGAAATTACAATTCGATATGCGCATACATGTATATCGAAAGGAACTGAACGAACGGCAGCCATTTTGTCTGTTTATTTTGGGCCGATTTTCACGAAATTCGAACTCAGTCGTCCTCAGGGTGTAACGGTGATATAATAATACGTTTTTTTAAATTGGATAAAAATTATGACCTCTATAGGATCCACAAGCTAAAAACGCAATTTTTCGTACAATCAGGGGCCATAATTCAGGAAGTTACGGTCCGATATGTGCGAATATCGAAAGGAACCAAGATCTTTGGGTTATAAACTTACATTTCAAGTTTCAACAAAATCGGATAAAAATTGTGACCTCTATAGGGTCCACAACCTTGATATAACATATTCTTATGCTATTCCAGAACGAACGGCGGCCATTTTGTCTGTCAATTTTGGGCCGATTTTCACGAAATTCAAACTCAGTCGACCTTAGGGTGTAACGGTGATATAATAATACGTTATTTTAAATCGGATAAAAATTATGACCTCTATAGGGTCCACAAGCTAAAAACGTGATTTTTCGTACAATCAGGGGTCATAATTCAGGAAGTTACTGTCCGATATGCACGAATATCGAAAGTAACCGAGATCTTTGGGTTATAAACTTACATTTCAAGTTTCAACAAAATCGGATAAAAATTGTGACCCCTATAGGGTCCACAACCTTGATATACCATATTCTTACGCTATTTGGGAACGAATGGCGGCCATTTTGTCTGTCAATTTTGGGCCGATTTTCACGAAATTCGAACTCAGTCATCCTTAGGGTGTAACGGTGATATAATAGAACGGTTTTTTAAATCGGATAAAAATTCTGACTTCTATAGGGTCCACAAGCTAAAAACACGATTTTTCGTACAATCAGGGGCCATAATTCAGGATAAAAATTGTGACCCCTATAGGGTCCACAACCTTGATATACCATATTCTCTAGCTATTTGGGAACGAATGGCGGCCATTTTGTCTGTCAATTTTGGGCTGATTTTCACGAAATTCAAACTCAGTCATCCTTAGGGTGTAACGGTGATATAATAGAACGGTTTTTTAAATCGGATAAAAATTATGACTTCTATAGGGTCCACAAGCTAAAAACGTGATTTTTCGTACAATTAGGGGCCATAATTCAGGAAGTTACTGTCCGATATGCGCAAATATCGAAAGGAACTGAGATCTTTGGGTTATAAACTTACATTTCAAGTTTCAACAAAATCGGATAAAAATTGTGACCTCTATAGGGTCCACAAGCTAAAAATGTGATTTTTCGTACAAACAGGGGCCATAATCCATGAAGTTTCGATCCGATACATGCCAATATCGAAAGCAGCCGAGATCTTTTGGGGATAAACCTATATTTCAAGTTTCGTCGAAATCGGATAAGAATTGTGACCTGTAGAGAGTCCACAAACAATTGTGGACGGATGGACGTCCAGACGGACAGGGGCGACGGCATAATACGTCCACATGAAAATGTGTGCGTATAAAAATTGTGACCTCTATAGGGTCCACAACCTTGATATACCATATTTTTACGCTATTTGAGAACGAAGGGCGGCCATTTTGTCTGTTAATTTTAGGCTGATTTACACAAAGACATTTTAACTCAGTCATCCTTAGGGTGTAACGGTGATATAATAATACGTTTTTTTAAATTGGATAAAAATTATGACCTCTATAGAGTCCACAAGCTAAAAACGCGATTTTTCGTACAATCAGGCCATAATTCAGGAAGTTACGGTCCGATATGCGCGAATATCGACAGGAACCGAGATCTTTGGGTTATAAACTTACATTTCAAGTTTCAACAAAATCGGATAAAAATTGTGACCTCTATAGGGTTCACAACCTTGATATACCATATTTCTACGCTATTTGAGAACGAAAGGCGGCAATTTTCTCTGTTAATTTTGGGCCGATTTTCACGAAATTTGAACTCAGCCGTCCTCAGGGTGTAACGGTGATATAATAATACGGTTTTTTAAATCGGATAAAAATTATGACCTGTATAGAGTCCACAAGCTAAAAACGCAAGTTTTCGTACAATCAGGGGACATAATTCAGGAAGTTACGATCCGATATGCGCTCATATCGAAAGGAACCTAGAACTTTGGGTTATAAACTTACATTTCAAGTTTCAACAAAATCGGATAAAAATTGTGGCCTCTATAGGGTCCACAACCTTGATATACCATATTTTTAAGCTATTTGAGAACGAGGGGCAGCCATTTTGTCTGTCAGTTTTGGGCCGATTTTCACGAAATTCGAACTCAGTCGTCCTTGGGGTGTAACGGTGATATAATAATACGTTTTTTTAAATCGGATAAAAATTATGACCTCTATAGGGTCCACAAGCTAAAAACGCGATTTTTCGTACAATCAGGGACCATAATTCAGGAAGTTACGGTCCGATATGCGCGAATATCGAAAGGAACTGAGATCTTGGGGTTATAAACTTATGTTTCAAGTTTCAACAAAATCAAATAAAAATTGTGACCTCTATAGGGTCCACAAGCTAAAAACGCGATTTTTCGTACAATCACTGGCCATAATTCAGGAAGTTACGGTCCAATATGCGTGAAGATCGAAAGGAACAGAGATCTTTGGGTTATAAACTTACATTTCAAGGGTCCATAAGCCAAAAACGGGATTTTTCGTACAAACAGGGGCCATAATCCATGAAGTTTCGATCAAATACATGCCAATATCGAAAGCAGCCGAGATCTTTTGGAGATACACCTATATTTCAAGTTTCGTTAAAATCGGATAAGAATTGTGACCTGTAGAGTGTCCACAAACAAATTGTGGACAGACAGACAGACAGACATCCGGACGGACAGGGGCGACGGCATAATACGTCCACATGAAAATGTGGCCGTATAAAAACAGATAATGCAAAATGAATATATTGAAAATTTTATTCAAATTACTTTATTCTGAGCGAAGATATTAGCCTTTAAAGGTTTGACAAGACGTGTGCACTGACTGTAACCACCGTACTGGTTATTCATTTTTAAATGAAATCATTAAATGGACGAATCATCCTAACCTACTTAAAATATGACCTGTCCGACGGCATCAAGGCTTGATTATGGTTTTATCATGTTAATAAATGTCTAATTAACAGTTTGTAAAAAAGGCCTAAAGAAAGACCTTCAATAGGCAGATTTAGCTTTTGCATAATGCCTGTTTATGTTTAAAGTAGCTATAAATGAAATGAAATGAAATGGGGTTTAACGTCCTACTGTTTTGCTCCGAACTGGGCTAATGAAGACGGGCATACGCCATACAGTGTGCTATGAGGGAAATTTTGCCCGGACAGCGGCACTACGGCCTACTCTTATATCGAATTCCAACTGTCAAGGGATCTTTTACGTGCACGCCAATGTGTACACGGGACCTCGGTTTTTCGTCCCATCCGAACGACTAGACAGCTGTCCTTGTCAGCCCCTCCGTCCTGCATCACTGACAAGGGAGAACCACGCCGGAAAATCTGGATGGACTTTCTCGGCCAATGCAGGGATCGAACACCCGACCTCCAGGCTAGCGAGCCAGCGCCTTACCCACTTAGCCACCGTGATCCCCTTAAAGTAGCTATAAGTCTCTAACTCAATATCATCCAGAGTCTTACACATTGAAAACACAAATTATTTGTCAATTCCAATCAATATTGATGTTGTGATTTTACCGGGAAAAAGTAGGCTTCTGGTATCCAATATTTAAGACAAAATAAACATTTTACCGTCATTCTGTCAAACAGTGACGCCATATCTTATCATGCGCAATAGACTGGAATAACCAGACGCTAGAAATTCCCATTCGGTTGAGACTCATGCCGTATTTCGCTGGACTTATTATAACTGATTTGAAATGAGGGTCAAAACGGAAACAATTGAATGTAAATCAGTTTATATACACTCAGATTACATTATCATATGCGTTACGACCCATTTGGGTCAATTCCTAGGTCCCAAATATTAGCGTCAGCGATTCAGCTCCTTTAAGTTTCCAAGAATTTTATGTCCAACGCTTTCATCATGCTGATGATCTGTTTTATGTTCCTTTTTTCAATTTTGACATAATAAAAGTTTTTCTTCTGATTATAATATCTATTATTAACAATACCAGTAGCTAAAATTGCTGTAAAAAGGTTCCTTCTTAATATAAACTGCTAGCTGATTTATAAATATACTGCCAGTTTTACCTGTGAACTTTTATTTTCTCTGGAAAATATGACTGACGTCAGCTCTCGACTGGGAATTCCTATTTCAAATATTTCCGCATAATGAGTAATGGACTTTTTTTAAAACAAATATTTCCGGTAAAACTACCATATTACCAACAAAAACTTGATTTGATACTATGATAGTACTTTCAATATTTAAATTACTTACAATCATAACAATGTCCGTGTGTTAACTGTGATGTGCTTTGTCCTCGAAGTTCTTCCTTATTTATGCTATTCAAAATTGGGTTTCTGTTTCAGTGTTTGGGTTTCGATATCGCGAATATTTAATTATTACATGGTTGTTATAAAACTAATCTTATACTATATAAAATATTCAGGTTATCTTTTGATACTTACATACATCGTTCATGGTGCAATAATAAACATGTTCACTGTCATACTGCTAAGTACTTCAGCTGCTACTGATAGGCGTTTTCGTGGAAAGTCCTTATCTAACTTGTCTTTTACTTTCGTTTTCCTTCGTGCCAAATTAAAGTATGAAAGCCAGACATCGCAACGATTTTATTGCATAGTCTAGATTACCCAAGACCCCTTTAATACATTATCCGTTTTCTAAATCCTCCGTACGTTAATACTGGGTTCTCTTGGTGACCGAGACCAAATATAACTCAACCCAACTTCATTGTAAGGAAAAGTCAGACGTCTTGGTGACCTAGAGCATTTTATGGAAAGCCAATAGAATCACCAATTCATTTATTGTGGAAAAATGAAAATGCCCTCGCGACAAATGCACAGCTTTACTTTACCCTTTTCAATTTCAATTGCTGGCTAAGTTAATTTGCCTGGTCCTAATATAAAAAAAATGAATGTTGAAATAATGATTTTTCAGTGTAGCGGAAATTACTTTTTTCTTTAGAAGAAAAAATCATCCAAACTTTACCACATCAATTTGATTAAAATACAAATCTATATTTCGTTTCGTTTTTTTTCTACTTTTGATGGCCTACACCACATGAAGATCTAACCAGTTGTATTGGGAGGTCGCGTCAAGGATCGTACAAGCGGCTTTTGACCCTATGACCTCATACATTGATTAATCAATCAGCGTTGACGTTTCTAGTGTTTACACACAGTTCCGTGCACCGCACGCCAAGAAGTCGCCGTAACAGATGGTTTCATTGGCTAATCCCTCACGCCATCCAGAACGCATGTTATATAACAACTCTTCTAGATTCTGGTGTAGTACAAATAAAACGAAATTTTGAACCATAAAAAAATAGAAACAAAGTAGGATCTGTGTTTTAATCAGATTGTTACTACATAGAAGTTTGGAAACTTGTTAAATGTTGCACAATCACCGATATTTTGCGGTAGTAGCTGTGGTGATTTTCATTGGGAGGGGTACGGTTTGGGCTTGTTTGAGAGGATAAACCCCTGATCGTAGAGCGCTTAAGGTTAAGCAATATTTCAGTAACTAGACGAGGGCAATAAATCAACGAAAAGTAGATCATACGAAGTGGCAGAATCTGTTCATGGTCATTATGACGGTTGACGCCCCTGGAAGTTCAGAATAATAAATGGGTTTAATTTCTTGTTGTCAATATAACTTTCATATGGCATGGCATTATATATATATTATAGGTTCTGAAGTTTTGGAGAATTCAGATACAGATTTTGTCCTTTCGTTCGTTCGTGAGGGTGATATTGCAGATATTCTGTCACTGATATATATCTTACACTTTATTCTTAAACAATGAACAAAACAATGGCTTGTTGTAACTAGGCGTGATCGTCAAACTACTTTAAAATTGTCCATCAAAAGGCTTGGGAAATAAGCTAGTGGCTCAAAAACTTTAAAAAAAAACAATCTCAAGAGATCTGTGTTTTGTTAGAGACAATAATTCCAATGCACGACAATTAGTATTTAATAAGAAATTTGTCATAGAGTTTGCATGGTTTTGTTGGAAGGGGAATTACATGTATTTAGTGCAATATGGATCCCCCAATTCACTGTTTAATCAAGTTAGATATGATAAGAATCGGTGAACAGAGTTGCCACGCCCACCCCAACATACGTTATGTTCCAACGATGCAAGATTTTATTTCATTTTTATTTGAACTAGCAGTGCCAATATATAATTGTCGATCAAAGTATATAGTTTATTTTTTTAAGAAATATAATATAAAAATTAAAAAAAATACAAAACATCGCATTTATAAATCAACACATAAATAAATAAATACACACATATATCATAGCATGGGACAACATCCTTTTTTTCTGGTAAGGGTGTACACAAATTCATTAACTTCATACACGGTAGTCTCCACTTAGTTCAATTTTTTAATGAAGGTGTGAAGTTGCTATACGATTTTTTTTTCTGTATGCAGGTTTCGGTATGTAATAAAATGACGGGTTTTCGGTTGTAAAAATGGCGTTGGTCATCTGATAGCAAACATATTAAACAATGACATAACATTTCCTCACTGGCTCTATAAAATGGTACACGTACTTGACTTTTTTTCACTCATAGTCGGTTGACCTTAAAAATAAAGAAATCGTAAATATTAAAAATTAAATTTCTGGAAGATTTCATTTACATGTCACTTACGGTTTGTGGTGCGAGATGGGCGCGCCTTAAAACTATTTGTTACCCATATGTTAACAAATGTTATCACTAAATCCGACTAGTTATAAAAATATTATGCATCATTTTCTACAGTGCAGCTTTATTTTATTTATTTTTTTTTACCGCACTTTCGACCTCTCTCAGTATGCAATTCAGCTGCTAAATTGTTTCCAAGCGACGATATTCTAGAATGATAATATTTACTTACCATTAGATATTCCCTTAGTAGCACCGGTACCTCCTCCATTAGACACTTCCATTTTAGGTGCACTATTTACTTCTTCGACATGATTACTTGTTTTGGCAGTCTGTATCACATCAACATCGTAATCCTCAGCTTTGATTATTTCTTTGTCCTTTATGGAATCTACGGTAGCGTTTACTGCATCCGTTTCTTTTGTGTTTTCTACCTCTGTTACTTTTACTGTGTTTTTTTCTTCGGTTACTTCTGTGTTTTCCGCATCAGGAATACACGCAACACCCGTTACCTCTGGTGTGCTTACTGTCTCTGTTGGTGCAGTCGAAACCACTGGGTCTGTTGTATTTTCTGCTACAGTATCTTCAGATGAGTTAACTGATTCATTTACCTCTGTCGAGTTAGTTTCTTCTTTTACTTCTGCCGTGTTAACCGCTTCTGAGGAGTTAGCCGTCTCTGTGCTTTCAACTGTGTGTTCTTCTTTTCTTACGTCTGCTGTGTCTTCTGCTTCTGTTACGTCGGCGTGTTTTATTGTCTCTGTTACCTGTTCTTCTTGTGTGTATTCTGTCTCTGTTACTTCTGCTGACTTTTCTGTCTCTATTACATCTGCTGACTTTTCTGTCTCTATTACATCTGCTGACCTTTCTGTCTCTATTACATCTGCTGACCTTTCTGTCTCTATTACATCTGTTGTGTTTTCTGCTTCTATAACCCCAGTCGTATTTTCTGACTCTGCTACAACTGCTGTGATTTCTTGTTCTGCTACGTCTGATGCTTCTTCCAACTCTGTCACCTCTGTCGTGGTTATTGATTCTGTCACTTCCTTTGAGTGACCCGTTTCAGTTACTTCTGTACCGATTTCTTGTTCTGTTACTTCCGTACCGTGCTCTGTTACTTCTGTCTTGTCTTCTGACTCTGTTACTTCTGTCGTTTTGTCTGACTCTGTTACTTCTGTCGTTTTGTCTGACTCTGTTACTTCTGTCGTTTTTTCTGACCCTGTTACTTCTGGTGGGTTGCCTGTCTCTGTTACTGCTGTCTTGTTTTCTGACTCTTTTACTTCTGTTGAGTTGTCTGTCTCTTTTACTTCTGTAACCTTTTCTGGTTCGGCCATTTCTGTCGGGTTTGCTGACTCCTTTGTTTCTGTGTCTCCGTGTGTGTTTGAGTTATTTGTATCCGACTCGTTCGGTATACTGTCCTCGTGTTGGCTAGTGATATTGATGTCCGCCATAACGGTGTCATTGGACTTCTGATGAGCATCAGAATTATCGGTTGAAGGGATATTTTGTGTATATTCAGATTCAGACATGATAATTTATTCCTGAAAAAATTAAATAGTAAAACTGAAATGTTTGGACAATTATTTTTTACTTTTGGTATTTGTATTCTGTTTATCTAAACAAATGTATGGCATTTTATGGAATATTTTCAGGACAATTTTGATAAATCTAACATATACAATTAATACAATTGTATTAATTGGGAAATTATTATGTCTCTAAAATAACCCACTACTTGAGCATACACGTTTTTATTGTGATCTTATATCTTATATACGGAAATCTTTGCTATGATGCCATGATTTATATACGTGAAGAAATACACCAAATAAATGTATTGGCGATGTCAACAAAGTGAAAGTGGTATAATGACGTTTTATAAAAAAAAGCTTGAACCAAATATAAGATTTTAAAGGAAACACACATTTTTTCTCATATATAAGATACGCAGAATTCAGTCAAATTGATCAGGTTTAAAATATACTTACCTAATATTGTATAAAACTTGTTAAGTCCAATTCTATACTGACTTCTATTGAACAGATGATTCAATGTTATAATATTATGTATGATAATTACTGGTTTCGATGTAGATATATAGGTATAGGTATCCAACACAAGTATTATAGTTACCATGTGTACATGTATGTCATAATACAATATCGATTATAATGACTAATTAATAGTTTATAGGGCTTTAGTACTAATTATCTGTATATTGTTACACGCTCTCGTCTTTCATACTCATTAAACCAATGTGACATATTGTGTTTTTAACAGTTTTCTTAGTTCTGTCATTTATAAATCATCAGGGGATAAGCCCTTTAAAGTCGATTAAAGTTTTATACAAAACCTGTATTAATAAGCTGATTAATGAAAAGTTCATTTTGCTTACATGTGAGATAATAAGCCCCGGTCCTATCGTTTGTTTATGTCTGTGTATGGGCCCGAGAAATATGTAACGGACAATCTTATTCCTTCCCATCGCAGTAACGGGTACCCTCCCAGATAACGCGGAGTAGTCCCGCTTCGTCTGGAAATTGGGCGATATGAAGGAATCCCCGTTGAAAACGTCTTTGGTTTTTTTTGTACCGATAAAGTCGAAAATGAAGACCATTATCTTTTAGAATGTGAACTATATATAGCGATTTTAGAAATGTCCAAAATTTGGATAAAACGTCTTTTATTCAGTCCAGTGGTGAAATAGTTAAACCGAGTTCCAAAAACCGAGTTAAAAAAAAAACCGAGGCAATTAACTACCCATGTTTATGAATGTAGGTTTGGGTATTTTTTTTTAACCTAGTGTAGATAGTCATTTTAGAATTTTTGTCTTAAGTTTGTTTTAAGTAATTTCTACATCAATATGTTGTGTGTAATTGAAGAGCCCAGAGAGAGAGAGAGAGAGAGAGAGAGAGAGAGAGATAGCCCAGAGAGAGAGAGAGAGAGAGAGGGAGAGCCCAGAGAGAGAGAGAGCAATATTTAAAACTGATTAGTTATATCCCAGGCCTACTTAAATTAGCAACGGTAAATGGGTAAATGGTGCACTTCGCGCATTTTAATGTTTCGAGACATTATTCTTAACACCCTAATGCTTCCTGCCACGTCAGAGGGTATTGGGTATAATATTTAGAGTGATTTTATCCGCGGGGGATAAAAAAAGAGTGATGTTTAAATGAGATGCTTGTGTGTGTTATGTGATGGGGGGGGGGGGGTATTCCGACTGGTAATAAGTGTGTAAACGTATAGTATATTTCTAAACATAATGTAAACTATCGAAGCCTATAACTACCATTCATAATTTCTACTTTTCGCCTCTTCAAACACGAAAGTCGTAAAGTCGAAAAGTAGAAGTTACAACAAAATAGGAAATTAAGAAATAATACACTGCGATAACAGCGCCCCTCGTTTTTTCCTAATAATTTCTTATTTTCGACTTAGTCATATTTTTGTATTTATTGATGTCAGTAATAAGGCGCCAACACGCAATACAAGTCAAAATCAACTCAAAAATAGGAAATTAAGAAATAACACACAGCAATAATAGCGCCCCTCGTTTTTTCCTAATTTCTTATTTTCGACTTGCATTTTGGCTTGTATACCGTCTTGTCGACTTTCGACTTAGTCATATTTTTGTATTTATTGATGTCAGTAAGAAGGCGCCAACACGCATACCAAGCCAAAATGCAACTCGAAAAGTAGAAATTAGGAAATAAACACACGCGCTATTAGCGACCTATCATTTTGGTTTGCTGTCGTACTGGCGACTTTTCGACTTTCGCCTTGGAAGTGGTTGTAGTCTCAATTTGCCAGGTCGCATTTAAATACATGCAATTCGCGTTAACAGAATAGTCTGTATGATAAAGTATAGTATTGAAGGCGATATTAGCGACCTATGATTCTGGCTTGCTGTCGTGCTGTCGACTTTTCGACTCGTAAGTTGATGTAGTGTCTACTTTCAAGGTCACATTAGAATACGCGCATTGATAATTGAATTTCATTTAGTGTGGTTTGATACCGCATATAAAATATACAGGTTTTCCCGATTGTATATTATTATTTTATTTCAAATTATATTATCACCGCATGGGTAGGAAATGTAAGAACGAGTTGAATAGTGACGTTTCAGTACCGCCGCCAAAATTCTCTAATGATTGTAAGCATGTCTTACAAATAAAATTGAAATTTCTATGAGGATTCAGATTCTGGATCATTACGGTACCTGCAATTAAGAATAGGCCTATTATACAAGGGAAATCCTTGGATGAGACTGGCGTGTAGAGTCTGAATATATATTGTTCAGTATATGTGGAAATAACTAAAGACAACAAATATAAGTTCTGATCTTAGTGGATCACCTCAAAACTGCGCTAATGTATTAGTCAGAGAGAGAGAGAGGGGGGGGGGGGGGTAACGTCCAGTCGACACAAACTAAGAGTTATTCAGAGACTAACATGGTGCAAATTTATTTTAAAAATTGGCGATGAGAGAGAAAGAGAAATTAAATGAAATTGGGGTTTAACGTCCTACTGTTCTGCTCCAAACTGGGCTAATGAAGACCGACAGTGTGCTATGAGGGAAATTTTGTCCGGACTGCGGCAATACGGCCTACTCTTATATCGAATCCCAACTGTCAAGGGATCTTTTACGTGCACGCCAATGTGTACACGGGACCTCGGTTTTTGGTCCCATCCGAACAACTAGACAGTTGTCCTTGTCAGTCCCCCCGTCCTGCATCACTGACAAGGGGGAACCCGCCCGGAAATCTGGATGAACTTTTTCGGCCAATGCACGTATCAAACACCAGACCTCCAGGCTGGCGAGCCAGCGAGAGAGGCTTAACACCCACTCGACGCAAACTAAATCATTTCAATAATTCGTTTGCACGCAGTGGATAGAAACTGGGGTATCCGGAGAAAACTCACAAGGTTGGACAAGCGACCCTACTCCCTTGTCATGTTTAAGCGGGGAATCGAAACCACACAACTTGAATTAATGTCAGACCTTGTGATTTCACGCGCACGTGTTAAACCACCAGACCACCCAACCCCCATGTAAGGTATGGATTTTGTAAGTTGTTGTATATTGTATATACCGGTACGGGAAATTTGTTTTATAATAGGTCTATATAATAAATTAAATTGTTGTAGCCTAAGGTGTTTTTTTTTTTTTGGTTTTTTTCTTATCAGACATTTTTGGCAGATAAAATATCTATGGAAGCCTATAACTACCATTGATAATTTCTACTTTTCGCCTCTTCAGAACGCGAAAGTCGAAAAGTAGAAGTTACGACAAAATGTGAGGCGACAACACGCTATACAAGCCAAAATCAATTCAAAAACAGGAAATTAAGAAATATCACACCGCGATAATAGCGCCCCTCGTTTTTTTTCTTTTTCTAATTTTCGAATTGCATTTTGGATTGTATACCTTCTTGTCGACTTTCGACTTAGTCATATTTTTGTATTTATTGATGTCAGTAAGGAGGCGCCAACACGCATACCAAGCCAAAATGCAACCCGAAAAGTAGAAAATAGGAAATAAACACACGCGCTATTAGCGACCTATCATTTTGGCTTGCTGTCGGATGGGACGAAAAACCAAGGTTCCTTGTACACATTGGCGTGCACATAAAAGATCCCTTGACAGTTGATTCGATATAAGAGTTGGCCTATTGCCGCTGTCGGGACAAAATTTCTTATTTTTGTTGTCTTTAGTGTCGTGATGTCGAATTGTCGTGGTGTTGTGATGTCGGGTTGTCGACTTTATTTATCAATGTTGAAGCGGCCATGAATAATAGAGTGCTGTCCCTTGCCGAGATCAAGTCAGCCCTCACTATCTCATCCTTCACTAAGAATACTTACCCTTCACCCTTCACTAACTGAAGAGAGGGGGGGGGGTGGATGGCGGAATGGTTAGCTGCGCTGTATCATACGGTCTGTCATTGAGTCAACTGGCGAGGTTTCGAATCCCCGATTGTACGTGACAAGGAGTAAACTAGGGTCGGACGGACATGTCTTCTGTCTTAATAATATCAATAAAAATAGTTCTATGAGGCGCGTGATCTCGCTTGGGCGAAATTACGTAAGTTGACATGCGCGTTGCCTGTTTTGCCCAGTGTATCCGGTTCCTGTCTAATTTTTTTTTAAATCAACAGTCTTGAACAGTCTGTGGGTGACAATTTCAGTTACGCTCCCGAGTTACTGGAAAAGAGCTTTGCTCAAGCACCGCGGTTCGCGCGATGTTATAGAGCTTCGCTCTATATAAAAAAGGCTTTTTGGTGATACCTGAAGTTTCACACAGCTCACCAAATATTTCTACGCCGTCGCCCAGTTATTTTTAGTCTTTCTCTCCCCTTTCCCCCTTTTGCATGGCGATTTTTGTTGACTTTTTGGTGTAGAATCGAAGAAAAGGGGT